CTATAGCAACCATTTTTAGGGTGATCTGGATTTCAACGTCAAAATTGCCGAACTTTTTTGTGGACGTGCGTCAAGCTTGGCTATGCTTCTAGTTGGCCCTCACAGCCAGTCCGCTAATTTTCAAGGTCAAACGAGCCTCGAAGCGCGCATACCCCCCATTTTTACGATTTTCGTGTGCTATAGCAAATTATTTTTTGGGTTATCCGAATTCCTACGTCAAAAATATCAAATTTTTTTGTGGACGTCCGTCAAGACCTTGTCTATACAGCCAGTTGTCCCTCACGGCAAGTCCGACCAATTTTGAAGGTCAAACGATCCCCGAAGCGATCATACCCCTTATTTCGACAATTTTCGTGTGGTATAGCAAACCATTTTTTGGGTGATCCGGATTAAGACTTCAAAAATTCCAAAAATTTTTGTGGATGTCTGTTAATACCTTGTCTATGAAGTCAGTTGGTCATCACGGCCAATCCAACTCATTTTGAAGGTCAAACGAGCCTCGAAGCGCGCATACCCCCCATTTCGACAATTTTTGTTTGTTATAGCAAACCATTTTTTGGGTTATCCGAATTTCAACGTTAAAAATGCCAATTTTTTTTGTGGACGTCCGTCAAGACCTTGTCTATGCATCCGGTTGTCCCTCACGGCCACTCTGACCCATTTTGAAGGTCAAACGAGCCTCAAAGCTAACATACCCCTCATTTCGACGATTTTCGTGTGCTATAACAAACTATTTTTAGGGTGATCCGAATTCCAACGTCAAAAATGCCAAACTTTTTTGTGGACGTGCGTCAAGCTTGGCTATGCAGCCAGTTGGCCATCACGGCCAGTCCGACCAATTTTCAAGGTCAAACGAGCCTTGAAGCGCGCATACCCCCTATTTCGACGATTTCGTGTGATATAGCAAATCCTTTTTTGGGGTATCGGAATTCCAACGTCAAAAATGCCAAATTTTTTTGTGGACGTCCATCAAAACCCTGTCTATGCAGCCGGTTGGCCCTCACGGCAAGTCCGACCAATTTTGAAGGTCAAATGAGCTCCGAAGCGAGTATACCCCTCATTTCGACGATTTTCGTGTGCTATAGCAAACTTTTTTTTGGGTGATCCGAATTAAGACGTCAAAAACTCCAAAAAATTTTGTAGATGTCCGTCAATACCTTGTCTATGCAGCCAGTTGGCCATTACGGCCAATCCAACTCATTTCTAAGGTCAAACGAGCCTCGAAATGCGCATACCCCCATTTCAACGATTTTTGTGTGCTATAGCAAACAATTTTTTGGGTTATCCAAATTCCGACGTCAAAAATGCCAAATTTTTTTTGTGGACGTTTGTCAAGACCTTGTCAAGTTTACACCAACCCAAAACAGGCAAACATAGATATCCCAGCTTCGTTAGATGCTAAATATTCAACCCAGTGAAAAATACTAGATCATTGCCACTTTTCTATTTAGAGTTTTAAGGCCACGAAGGATTATGACCTGCTAACTTGATTTGACCTTATTTTGAACAATCTAGTGAAAATAACTCATTATTTCTACAAGACAAACTTTATTACTATGTTTTTCAAGTTTCTCCATCATAAAACAAGAATTCAAGATTATTTTCATTTTCTCATGTATATCAGTCAAACTTCTTAAAATATGATCAATAGACTATGTTTGATAAATTTACTACACGCCAGTTTCTATAAATTAACACAGGCATAAAGGAAAAACTTGTAGTAGCAATTATAGACAACTGAGACAAACAAGGGTTACGCAAAATACCCCGCCACCTACAGGACATTATCATAGAACAAGCTCTTATCACGGGTTCCACAATCCTTACCTATTCTAAATGCATCAACTAAAAATAAAGAACCGAAATCAAAGAGTCTATCACTATTCCTTTTACCACCTTCCTTCGCACCAAAATTATCAGGATATTGAGCCCGACCTTAAAAGGTCCATTAACGGTTAAACACATTCAAAACATTATACATTTTTGTAAGTTAGTTTAATTAAACCGATTTACAGGCTACTGGCTTCACAAATGGCAAGAGGAGATCTCAAAGCGCTAAAATGCCTCCCCCTCCGGATTTACCAGTGGACGTTACTAGAAGATCTTGTCCTGAGCTAAGCTGTCCAAAATTTACAGTTCACCAGCGAGTCACCTTCCAAGTATTCCATCCGGAAACGGAAGAGAAAAAAAATAAGATTGGTCCTGTTTGCAATGGAAAAGAAAGTGAGGTGAGGACGCCAGGGAATTGGGAGCATGACATGACATATTTGCAGGTTGGAGCACATACCACTAAGAAAACTCCTACGTCGCCAGCACAGATGTGAGAAGATAGTTTCTTGTTGACCAATTTGTGTTCACTAGCAACCTCATCTCGTCATATCCAATGTCTTTGCTTAGCAACAGTAATCATTGTTCTGCCACCATGGAATCTGCTCCTATTCAGAATCCGAATCAATACTTAGATACAATCTTGGTCTTACAGAACGACGTTGACGAGGAAATGTAAAAGGACTATCTGATCGTTCTCTACTGCTCTTAGTTGATCTGCTGTCATTCATACCAATAAGCAATGAAGCTGCACAGACAGGAGCATCACTACCTACATTTAGAATGGCTCCAATACATGAATCAAAACAGAACTTCTGACAACAAATCTTAGCTCTCATAAGAATATCTACCAGGAAAAGTAAACCATCTCTAAAAGAACAACACTGCAATACTCTGTGAATTGTGCTTGTACTGCAGTTTCTCAACTAAACCTGTTGTACATCTAAACAATAATAATCACCTAACTAGTTTTTTTTTTACCAATTCTTTTTTATTTTGCGGCAAAAGTGCAAAACTCACAATGCTAATTCAAGCAAGCGTGGATCATTTATCCATGCTCTCCTCACACCCCCACCCCTCCAAAAAGGAAAAAAAAAAGGTAAAGAACAACAGGAAATACCAGTGTCAGCCAATGAGTCCAACGCAGTGTCTTTAGTTTGTACTTGCTGCCCAGAGCTTAACCCATTTGCAACTGCAGTATCACCAGGAACCCCTCCATCACCACCAAGCCTAAGTGAGATCCAATCCTCAGTACCAACGCCATTTGAAACATCAGGCTGATCCCTCGCAGCCTCGACTGACGTAATTGATGGTCTAGTAGGAAGAAATATTTGAAGTGAGGGATCATTGCCACTAAATCCAAGGGGATTATCAACTAAACTATCATTTATATCAGCATTAGGGCGATCGGTGTATGTTTCAGGAAGAAGAGAAGCAGATCCAATGCCACTCTCTGCACCCAACCCGTACCCACTCATAGAACTGGTACAGTTAATAGATTCATGTTGCACATCTACTAAAGATCCTGAAACATCAGCATCAGAACTAAATAACTGAAAACCAGGGCCACCTTGGGTTCCAGAAGGCAAAGACCACAAGTTCATCCCAAATTCATCGTCATTAGAATTGAACAGCCCCAGGCATGAATTCCCACCGTTAACAAGCGCAGAATCATGAAAAGAATCCGGAATTCCTAGTGGTTGAGCTGGAAAAGAAACTACAGGTGCATCACTATGGTTGTTATTAAAGACAGCTCCAGATGGGATAATTGGCTCATTCTCTTCATCAGAATCACTTAGTACAATAACTTCAGCATCTCCTGCTGGTATTGACGGATTTCCGTTGCCAAAACCATATGGTGGGTCAATATTAAGAGAGATGGCCTCAAGATCAAATGCATTGTTCGAGAATTCAAGGTTCCCATTACCATCCTGATTAACACTGCGATCTTCACCTTCTTTGCCACTTCCAGTGGCACTGCTGCTCATTGGAATGACATCCTGACCAAAATTTTCTCTCAATCTATTTCCAGATGAAAATGTCTGGTCTTCAGGTTTGCTGATTTCCCACAATCCGTCCCTGTTCTTCTTCAATCCAACTTTAAGGCCATTTCCATCAGAGCCTCCTTCCTGTTTAACCTGCTTAAGAATTTCAGGCTTAGGCTTCGACTCTATATCTGGAGATTCACTCAGAGACCCATCAGGTAAATGCCAACGTCCAAGATCTCCAAGACTCCTTCGATCAGATTCTGTCTTCGCGCGCCAAGAACCATCAGGTTTCACTTCGATTTCTGTGACATCTTCTCCACAACTACGCATCTACATCGTGAAACCGCACAAAAGTTCAGCTAAATGCTAAAACAAAGTTACTATCCCCAAAAATAACCAAGCAATACCTGAGAAGTAATTCGATTGAAATATGGATCTATGATAACATGCTCCAAAGAGTAGTTCTTAAGACAGATAGGGCATTGCCACTGCATCACATGAACAAGATTTGTCAATAAATGATATCCGATGGATATACGATGGGAACTTGAGACATTAGTTCAGATATGGGTTATAGTTGCTTGCCTTCCTCGACCTTTGATTCATTTCAACAAAGACGTCAAGATCAAAGCAGCCCATGTGTATACAAGGTTTGAATCTTCCAGCAATTTTCATCCTTGAACCACTCATCTGGTATGCACATAGAAAAGAAAATTGAACCCTGAGACTTGTGCTGCATTACACAGCAATACACAAAAGGCAACAAAGCAATATAGAGGACAAAATCCAATTAGAATCCAAATTATTTGAACGCGGACATGCTATCCTCCTCCAGAAAAATTAATACATATAATAATAGCAAGAGACGTGGTGGACACTAGTATAGATGGAAGAATAAAAGGGAAGCCAGTGCTCCACCATGTTATCTTGATCAGGTGATATGCCCAAAAGGTTGATCCTGTGGTTTCTTGTTCAAACCACCAAATAAACACTTGAATCGCATCTATGACTAAGATTGTGCCTAATGGAGGTTCTTGAATCTGAAGCATATGACCTCTAGGATAACAGCTACGACCACATTGTATGCAATTACACTAGCTTGCAGCTTGATTGTCTTACTTTGAACAAACCAAAAAGCCCACTAAGTGAGGAAGAGACACAGTAACAAATACACCGAGAGATAACACAACGATAAACCAAACAACACTAACTAATAGATATGCTGTAAACAGGATTATAACTTCAGTATGCACTTACAGGGCAGCGAAGATTGACAGGAATACAATCAGCAACAACTTCCAGATCACTATCACTATCAGCATTTTCCGTGGCTGTCCCACCACCAACACAGCGACGAACGCGAGCAAGGGCATCTTCAAATTTCTCACCATCTGACACCTTCGGTATCATACTAAGAACCTAACAATAAAACAAAGGTATATCATAAACATGAAACAGTCCATAGATAAGATCTAAGATCCCTTGTTTGTTAACAAGTCTATGGTGATGTAAATGGTAAGCTATCAGGAATTTTTATATTTTTACAACAATATCGTGAATATTATTTTTGGGGAGAAGAACAATATCAGAAATATCAAGGCCACAGTTGGAAGGGACTGACAGGGATCTCGAGCAGCACCAGCACACTTCTTAAAAACAGAAATAGATTGATTAATGCTAACAGCTACTATAGGCATCAGTATAATCTTGAAATCAAGAAAATGATTAATTGCTTAATTCTCTATAATCAGACAGAATCATGTCCTGTAAAGAAAACCTTACCATCCAGTGAATGGGCAGACAGATTTTCCATTACCTTACAGAAAAAGATTTTGGTACCTGTATCATATCACAGTCCGAAGGTTGTGAAGAATGTGCAGAGATTGTATTGGAGCACGAGTGTTTTAAGAAATGATTTAAATAAGTGAAACAAGGAAGATGAGGGAAAATTGGTCAGCAACAAAACAAAAATACTTCATAAACTTGGATAAGGAGATCAGAGGAGGAAGGAACTGTGTATGGAGGAGCTCAAAAGGCAGCTGAGGAGATAGCTCATAGAGTACTAATCAATGTCTTAGATAAAAGATTAGTACTAGTGATGGACACCATGTATCATCATTTCAGAATGTAATTCTGGGAGAAACATTGCAGAATGGACTTCTTCTGGGAGAATTACTGAATATTTTATGATATTGATAATGCATGTGCCTTTTAAGGAAATGGACACAGGTGTGCTGTGCAAGTAGGACACTAAGGAAGCATACATCATTCAATTGGTTCCAAATTTCTATGCTAGAGACAAATGGATTCAGGAAAAAGTAGAGGTCTGGCTAGATATTGCAAATCATCAGCTAAATTATTATAATTCAGAATAACTCCCTTTATGCCTCCTTTGAATGAGGAGAAAAGGAATTGTCTCCACTAGTCTGTATCTGTTCCTCTTTAGTTTCATGAAAAGTTTTGGGTTGACCTTGGTACTCTCAAAAATACTAGTGGTTTGAAATATCAATATACACAAAACAGAATTTGTACTAATGGGGAAGCTACAAGAAATCCAAAATTGGCAAGTTTTTGTATTCGAAAATGGACACACCATCTACAAGTTAACCATGGTATCTGGGTCAGCTTACATGCACCTCGACTAGTTCCACGAGACACATTCCACCTCCCACCAGCAACAGATACCGGTATCTTCCACCAAGGCAGGAACATATGGGAAGACATCACCTAGTGTTTTTCGGTCTCTTGCTGGGATTTAAAGTTGAACCCTCATGGTTCTCAACCCACTTCATTGGCCACACCCTGGGAGCTTGTTGGAAGACACTATATTTTCCAAGACAAAGATAATACCATTGAAATCCATTCATTCAAGCATATCAAGGTACATGTCCATATTTGTATATGCCATCAACAATAGCAATAGAAAATAGAGAATGATTTTTCCTGTGAAGGAACGGAGAGGGAACTGAAATGATATTTTTTCCTTTGTTAAAAATGGAATATTATTCGACAAAAAGAAAAAAATTCACCTATCAAAGAGGTTTACAAAAGTCTACAGTAGCCCTCCTATAATGATGCAATACTAAAGAAGTGGATCTGGAGTTATCCATGAGAATGCACTATGAGAAGGGCGATAACCACTTTAAATGGGACATGAATCAATAGATATTCTCACATGTAAAGGATTATTGATGTAATGTTGTGGAAAAAAAGAGTTACAAATTCATAGGTTTCCGCAGCTACATTGTCAAAAACGATGTTTTTTCTTTATGTTCACATGTAGTGTGGGGCACACGACTTTGAAAATAGCATCTCTACATGTTTTTGGTTTGACAAATGATAATGAACTGATTATCTGGGTAAGAATAAAAATGGGGTCTAGTGGGATATAAACTTCATGGAGCCATCCAAGATCAGAACATGACAAGGTATACAAGCTCCTACAGCTGATGTATGAATGCTTAGTAGAGGGAGAGGCAGAAGATCGCATGATACAGTGGGTGGGAATTGGGAAATAGAATCATTTTGAGGAGAAATTATACAATAGTAAAGATGTTATGAAACGTGAAGGTACCGCCAAAAGTTGTTTTCTTAATATATAATGTGAAGCTTGAAATGTAAGTACTCACCAAACATATTTTGAAAGAAGAAGCGGATTGTTGTGAGATGGTACTATCCAGGCACAGGATGGGGAAAACATAAATTGTGTCCTTATTTATTACAAATTTGCCTCAACTTCTGGACACTTGTGCTCTCGCCATATAATATCAATTGGTTAGTATCTCAGCCTCTTGAGGCAATTAACAGCAGGAGGAAGTATTATCAGCAGGTGACAGCGAGTAGATCGAAGTAAAACAAAGGCACATGAAGAGCAATGCAGCTGTGCCTCCTTTGGATAATTTTAAGACAAAATTCTCAATAGAAAATAAATTTCTCGGCCTTTAGGCTAAGATCAAGCTCTCCTTGGGATAATTTGGGGGGTAAAATGTAATAAGACAGTCTTTTCCTTTCATTTATATTTGTGGTGCAAGGGAAAATGCCTTTTATATCGGTTGTTGGACTTGCTTGATAGATGAGCGTGGTGGTTGAGCTATATTCATACATTGTAAATATCTTTGACATCTGACTAGTGTGCTCTAAGCGAAATAATAATCGACTAATTAACAAAGTAAGACTTCAACTGAATACTAAAAAACAACAGGTAAAAAAGGTTTTTGCAAGAGAATCTACATAATGCATAATGTTGGTCAAACTTAACTACCTGCTGAACAGTTCGCCGCTTCACAAGTCTGACCCCCAAGCAAAAGACACGAGCATCACATCCTGTTAATGTGACCTTGTTGATTCCATCTCTGGTGCATGGTGTGATCTGATAAAAAGGTAAGGTGCGAATTGAGAGAAATATCTATAAAATATCTATAAAATGTTCCTGAAAGAAAAAAAGAACGCTGAATGATTTATCCCAAACACTTTTCTGAGACCAATTTGACCAATCAATTGTGTAAACTTGCATTACACTTCACACATTTATCTGGAGTTCATATGGAACAATAAGATTTGCTACTTATTAAATTTCAGCATGCCTACACAACACTTGAAGATAAATATACACCAAAGTGGAAGTGCACATACCCAAATACACACACAACAATTCACTTTCCAAGAGGCAGAAACAGAAGTGCATGTAATTAATACTCACTATAGGGCCATCATCTCGACCATTAGCACCCAGCAATTGAGAGCCAGGTCTATTTATCGCGCGCACTGGAACCCCTGTTGGTTGAGATTCAACTGAAGTTAATGCACAAGGGAAAGATCTTCTAGAACCAAAAAAAATTGTAAATGCAATCTTCACTTGATTTATGGCAATTGAGTCTTTGCAGAAGAATACATGGGGAAAAGTTGAGTAGACAATATTTTCAGTTAAGAATGGTAAGAAGAACCCCAGAACACAATATCATGTTTACCTCACCCCTCCGAGTTCTTATTAAGGCCAAGAAACTACGAACTTGAAAGAAAACACAAGACATTATATTTTTCCATGAAAGAAGAAAGCTATTAAGAAGAACATAACTTAAGCATTCACTTTCAATTGGATCAGGATTAAAAACGAAGCAACATAGGACAGAGCATACCATTCACCTGCAAATCTGCATATTGAGGCCACTGCATTCTAAATTGTACCTTGTCGTTGAGAAGCATGCACCAAGCCTGACAAGTTTGAAGAACGAACACAATGAATATAAAAGGACTTCTTTATCTTAAACCATCACCAGGAAAACCAACAACCTGGAGATCATATTCCTGTTTCGCCAACAAGTCTCTGTCAGCTCTAGTGATCTGAAATGTTTTCTCGATACTCTGCACAGGGTTCGTCCTGAAAATTCACAGATGAAATAAGTAAATTAGGAAAGAAATTACATACTTGTTTAGCTACAAATACAGAACAATAACAAAGCAGAACATGCCTTGTGGATGATAGAGCAAGTAATTCAGTGAGGAAAATAGAAGCATAAATCCTCTTAACAACAAATATCTGAGAATCCTGGCTCTTACATTCATGGGACCATTTGCCACAAAGACAGAAAAGGCTTACTCATGTCACACACCAAAAACTCTATCATCGAACAGACAACAAAGAAATGCAAAATCATACATTTAAGAAGAGCAATCTATCTTGCATGCAACTGGAAGTTCAAACTGCTAACCTGTTCTCACATAAATGATGAAGCTAACTTAATATGGTCAAGCTATGACATGATTTCATCACCTTGAATTGCACAAACTTCCGACCTAGGGGAAAACATACAAATACAGATGCAAACAGATCCAAGACTTGCACTTAAACACTAAAATCTTGCATGCCCAAGATACAAGACAAACTAGTGTTTGGAGTCTTTTTCATCACTTTTCGAAATTCACTAACCACCTAATGACTTGCTCTTGAATCAAAAGTAGGTTATAGAAAAGTTGCCTTCCTTTTTTTTTCATTTCTTTTTTGGCTTCCATCCCACCACACTCATCCCCATGGAATATTGAGGATAATATGGAAATGCACCAATCACTTTGTGGAAAGGAAAGGTCATCCTTTAACATCGTTTCAGAGAAACACAAACAAAAATCTCTCCCAATTAATAGTAGCAAGAACAAGTATTAGAAACTGCATGTCCCAAATCTTCACAGAATTAACCGCATAAACAAATTAAGCCAAGCAAAAAGAGGTGCAGCAATAATAAAGAACAGGATAGACATCAAAAACGAAGTTGCAGGTAACTAACCCATCGGCAGGAACGCTTGTAATAGCCAACTTTGCAGGATACAAAGGGTGTCCCATTGTCACCCAGAAGCTGCATATAGGGAATTCAGTTATGGAAGGTGAAACAAGCAGTACCATATAAATCATGTATGTAACAAAGTAAAGCCACATCAAAGTGGTCATTTAAGTATCCATATTCATGGTAAATGAAGTGTCAGGTCTTACCGCCATGAACTGAAAATCCCAGGTTAGCACTCACACGTTTAGCGAGCTTATGGGTAACAAGTTATAAACTTCACATGCTATGAATGTGAAAATTTCAATACAAGGCAAAATGTTTTTACCCAAATGAGATTTCAGAGCAATTGCATAAAATAACATAAAAGTTGCATCAGTTAAGGTTCTCAAATCAGCTAATGCTAACAACTTTCTCAACTACTAAGATCGCGTCATTGTTTACAGATGGAACAATATCACCCCTATAACCCATCACAGCCTTTGGTTTCTACATAATATAAGGAGAGTCAGCCCACTTCTCTTATCTCCAATACATTGGCTCATCTCAGAGGGGAAAAGCAATCAATTGCAGCCTTGATGTCAAATTGTTCTTCTTAAGATATCAAAGATTTTAAATAATAGCAATGTCAGGAGACACCTTTTATGAGTTGAAGAGAACTGTAGTATGTATTTGATATCTAAGACATTTCGAGAACACAATTTATTTGACAAGAAAAATCCTTCATAGCCACAAGTACAATGCAACACTCCAGTAAATGGATATGCAGCCAAATCATACAATCCCTCCAGTAAAAGGAACCGATAAAAGTGAATTGAACACCAAAGGTAACACTTACGGGTCAGCACGAACCAGTCTGCACACTTCACAGTAAAAAGTAGTAGGCGGAATTGGTGGATCACCACCCTCCATTGGCTTCTCTGGTATGACAACACAACGAATATGTTGCCATGTGTGACATCTTCTGTCTTCACACTGCAAGCATGATAACATCATGAGACACAAATGTAATACATCAAGTACAAGAAACAGAAGCTTCAAATGTTCAAGCTGACACTATGTCCAGCACATCCCTCATCGTGGCAGAATTTATTTTTCAAAAACGCATACTTTACGCTGAGATCACAGCTTCATCATGATGACAACACACATGCAATTAACAGATAAGCATGATAGTCTACCATGTTAAAGATGCAATGGTGTACCGGTCCAACTGGGAAATATTATAAGTAATTACGCAGCTTTCCAGTACATAAGCAGATTTGGTATATCTTTTGAAAGAGAATCAGAGCTCAAAAGGATGTTTGCACACTCAAAATAATACACTGAAGATGTGCATATTTGTACGCAAAAAAGAAGATGCATGTTCATAAAAACGAGTAGAAGATATAAGGGCAATCAGTGCAGAGGTAAAACCTGAATCATTGTTTCAGTTTGTAATGAGCTTGTACACACACAGCGAATTTTCATGTGGTAAGTGTCTTCAATCTCCTCCTTCAACTTCACATTACTGGTATCGGAGACAACTTGCGACTTTGATGCTAGGTCAGTTGCCCCAGTTGCCCCCGTCGCCCCAGACACCTGCATTTTTCTGGCAGACGTAGAAAGATCAATATGCATTGGAAGTAATTGCTTAAGGTAGGAAGTTAGTAGATACCAAAGTGTTGTCGCACTTAATGTGGGAGAGGTAGGGGGTTAGCTTCTTCCTCTCCTCTTCTCATTACTAGTAGTATATAGTAGTTGCATAGTCTCTTACTCTTCATTGTGCATTACACTATTACTATTTGTTGTTGTATTTGCTTTGTATCTTGCTATTCTGTTGTCATATTTTTCTTGAAACCCTGCTTTATAGGACATAGCCTCTCTACACCCCATCCCAACCACCACACAGAGGTAGGAGTATGGTCATCAGCATACATCCACCCTTCCAAACTCCACTTGTGGTACACTGTGCCTGTTGGGTATGTTATTGTTATGAAGAAAGATCACTCATCACTATACACAAAAATGAAGAATTTCTTCGAGTACCAATTAAGAGGCAAAAAATCTTCCTTCTGCACTCAAATCTTAAGCTTAAAAGGAATTATTGTTGACGAACATGTCCAACAGACTGAATAATTGGATAGGGGTCTTAAACATCAAAGTCCATTTTCCCCCTTTTAGATAAGTGTGTCCTGAGATTGAAACTGCTTTATACCTGTAAATGTCATCAACAAGTTTTGCAACGTCTTCCTTCCCAACACTGTTTCTCTTTGGGAACAATCCTGAAGCTGTTCAGCAGCGAAGAAATATGTGAGAATCGGTCATCAATTTTGGCTGTGTGTTCAAACACATCTTCTAGCTAAGAGCAAGATACATATATATTTATTTTTTTCATGTCATGTATATATATATATACACACACACAGTACAAGATACCCACAATTAACAAGTACATGAATGCTTCAGTTTTTAAGCATTTCACTATCATAACACCCCCCACAAAAGTAGGAGTAAGGTCTACATACATCCTACCCTCCCCAAACCACACTTGTGGGATAACAGGTATACTGTTGTTGTTATCACACAATGTCCACCAAGACAGTGCGAAGATCTAATTATGAAAAATGGGTAAGATTTTTTATGTGATGGACTGAGGATACATTAGTCAAGATTGAATAGTGAGGAAACCCGTTACATCAAATTGAAAAAAGAATATCCAAGAGGAATGACTCTGTATCTTTAGCAACTCCAGCACAAGATTGGCATATTTTATAAAAAAAAAAAAAAAAGTAAATGAAAACAGAGAATGGTGAAACACAAAGAAAACCACCAACAAACCAGACGCGTCTAACATTTCCCAACAGCTTCTTCAAGCAAGAAATGGAGCAGCTCACCTCGTTCATCAGAGAGTGTAGCTAATATGCGATCAACAAGGTCCTGCAATACCAAATACAAGTGTCACAAACTAACATATCGATGTAACATGTGTTGTGCAGGAACATAACTAGCCTATGCATAATCATGAATCTATAAACTGCAGAAACCAGCTTATTGAGAAGTACTTCCTACCAAAATTGTTTTAAACGTCAGCTTACTTGAGAAGCACTTCTTACTAAAAGTGGTTTTACAAAAAAATGCTTAGACAGTACTGGTTTTTTGTTTGGCTAAATCATGTGAGGAGTACTTTTGTTAGTCATACGTGTTTGGACAACATTTTCATGAAGTACTTTCAAGTGTAAAATAACGAAAGGCAAGTTACTACACTAGTTTCTTTGGTGGAGATGAACTTATAATTTGGGTAATCTGGTCCTAAAAAACCAAAACCACTTGCTTTCAGGAGAAGCTGCTTGTTTCAGCTTTTGTTACTACTTGAAAATACTTATTTCCTTGCAGAAGCTTTGGCCAATTAAGTTATTAATTAATGTGTTAGTCAGAGAAAAGGAAAAGAAAAGCCCTCCTATTTCAAGGCAAAAAGAGACAGCTCTAACGGCAACATCATTTTATCATTTTATCAACAACAGGCAAGGAGGACTAACTAAACTCAGCATGTGCAGAGAGCCCTAAATTAATCAACATGTAGATAAAGAGGAGGACATGCCATAAAAACTGCAATAACCACGGAAAACAATACGATTAATATTACAGGCCTCCCTCTAGGAGTGATAATGTAGCAAGGTATGAAAGGTAAAAGCATCAGCCAGTAAATTAAACAAAAAGCAAGGAAGCTGTGTTTCAACCAGCAATCCCAAAAATGCATGGAAAAAGTTCAAACCTGCTTCTTCCCCTGCTTTGAAAGACCAAGCTGATTCAGAACATCTTTGAGCTCCTTTATCCGAAAATATGCCAATTTATCCTATAAGATACAATTAATTGTCACCAACGAAACCAACCAATTCACCAAAAGTTTTGTCTTGGTGTCTCCAAAACATATGGTTCATATATTCATGGGCGAACAACAGGGATTCCCAGCAGCACTATCAATACAAAAGCTGGTCTGTAAAACACTTCCAGAGCAGAACCTATACAAACAGGAATTTCTAGACCAACCAGTACTACTTAATTTCTATTTTAGAATTAGAACATTATGCAACGTGCAATTTGACTAACACGCCACGCCACATAACCATATAGTTACTGGCAATGGAGGCACATTTGGGGCGCATAAATGCCAGAATCAATGTTTACTTTTACTATGTATGTTCACAGTCTCTAAAATCTTCCTTTTCCAAGTTTTGTATGTTCATCTGATATTTTACTATTTATCGGTGACTAATCCTAATAACAAGCAGCAACGTATATCACACTAAAACTATCCACGCATTTCACTGCTCCAACAAAGAGTCGAGCTGCCACAACATATGAAAATTAAACAACTCTAAGCAATGTTCACAATTAGCACCAAAAAAATAAAACAAACAGTTCAACAACAACAAAAACAGAATTAAATCTAATTACCTTGCAGCTAGCAACCAAATCCATCTTTACACTCTTCCGCTCGTACACACAACTTCAAACAAACCTTACTCCGTAGTTGAACTATCCAGTTAATCAGCCACACAAAATCAATCCATCCAATGTCCAAACAAATATTGATCTAAATAAAAATGACATTTAAAAAAAACACAGTAAACCTCAAAATACTTCGATCAGAATTCCACAAAAAAAAACTATGCATGTTTTGAAAAAGTCAATTCATTAGAAAAAATAAAAATATATTTGTATTTCTCTAGCAAATAAGCTTAAGGAGGTGTTTAGTACCTCGATTAGATGAATCTATGAGGGTTTTAGAAAGAGACTCCACCGCAACGACGACGACGACGACGGCGGTGGTGATGGCGGCGGCGGCAGATTTTCTCTCTCCTCTTCTTCTTCTTCGCCTTCTCCGTCTACCTCTTCACAATTGCTGTGGTGGCGATTTCTCTTGACCGAAACCGGCATGAAGCTATCCTCGAATTACTACTAACCAAAAGTTCCGGACGTATCATATGGTTTATTAAATCCGGTTTAATTTGTGATAACAAATCCGGGTTTTTATTCTATGTGCTCACGTGTACGTGGCCGTATCCTGCTCTTACTTTTCTTTATTTTGCCTATTTACTAACGCCCCCCTCCGTACTTCTCCCCCAATATGCGCACCAACTCAAAAAATAAATACATTTTACATAAAATTTGCGTACATTATATTTTTTTATTTTTAATATTGTTATCGCCTAAATTTTATTTTTTTATAAATAAATAAAAATTACATATTTTATATCTTTTTTAATACCTCATTTTGTTGAATTATATTAAATTTTCAGATCTTATTTTATGAAATTATACTTACTATTGTCATATATTTTATAGGATGTACTATTATACATATGTTGAAAATATTATTAAATAATGTATAAATAATATAAATATTATACATGTTTTTCTAGTATATATATATAATATATATTTGCATTTCGATCACAATAATATTTGAAAAAAACTTGGTAATTAGGAATTTAGCTATATTATTTGTCGTTTCTTAATAAATACCTTATTTTTTTAAGTTATAGAAAAAAATCATATATTGCGTTAAATTTTAGTATTCAAAAAAAAATTAACATTATCCTAAACTTTCATATATTATGAAAGCATTCATTATTCATTAATTACGATTAGTATTTATCTACGACCAACTCTATTAAAAAGAATAACGTTTTAATGGGTAATAATTTATCTTGAACCAATTAGTCATTTCAATATGTAGTTATTGTAATGCTCTTTTCATTTTTATTTTATCTTTTATTGTTGTTGTTAATTGCTATCAAATAAGATTAATTTTATCGAAATATATTCATTATAATTTGAATAATTTTTAGAAATTATAGGTATAATTATATTTTTTAAATCAAATATATTTTTAAAATTATATAACGAAGAGCATGTAGAAACTCTCCAAAATTACTTAAGAATATGCGATCGCACGCTATCATAGTCTTATAATTACAATATGTGAAAATGATAAAATATACGTAAATCTGACTCTTATTTATATGATGAGATTGTTCGTTACTTAGTTTAAAAAATTAATATAAATTTTTTGTAAATATTTTCAATAGAAAAAGATAGTTAAATTGTGGGGAAAATGAATTTATGATGGGTGGTCCCCACGTCACTAATGGCCAAGAAAACGAAGAGGTGGATCAAATTAGGTTTCATTTGGTAGTTGTTGGTTGTTTTGAAAAATCAGAACTCTTCTCAGCCGTCCGATTCGATGACTTTTTAGAAGTCTCTTTATATTAAAAATAATAATTTGACCAATGTGCATTTAGCAATTTTGAAGACATTTTTTGGTTGTTACCTATATGGTAAAATATAATAATGTTTGTTTTGATTGTTGATTAAGTATTATTGTATATCGTATTATTATTTTTTGTTATTATATAAAGAAAAATGTTGTTTTATGTATTAGATTTAGCGGCGTTTATTTTTTATGTTTTTTTATCATTTAATAATTTTATTTTATCTTTTAATTTATTCTTTTTATAGCGATTTTATTGTATATTTTACTTTTTATTAGATTTACCTTTAAATTGATAATGTGTGATGATAAAAAATGAAATATAGTATATTCAAATGTTATATTTCACAAAATAATAGTATGTACGGTGAAATAATAAGTGATAATCATCCAAATAAATTGTAAAAATGATGTTTTGATGTTCCAAAAATCCTTATAATGGATGTTAGGTTTTAACTTTTAATTGATTCAGTTTATATCCTAAGTAGGTGTTTGGACACGTGATTCTATATCGCAATGTGAAATTAATGATTGAATATTTGACTTCGAGTTTTTATCATGAGATGAAATTCCTAATTTTCTAAAAAAAACATGTATTGAGAATTTCAAATCATGATTTGAGAATTTTCAAATACAAAAAATGATCCACAAGTTTATATTTTGTAAAAACAACATCAAGTTTACATTTATTGGCCATTTATTTCATATGTAAAAAAAATAATTATAATTCATATTTTACTTTTTAAACTTTTATATATCTTATAATATCGATTATTCTCACCAACATAAAATTAATTTTTATTTAAAATAATTCTTATTTTGCTATTTTTATTCACCAGGTTCATTATTTTTAACAAATTTATTTAAACCAAATTGACTAGCAAATAGCTCAAAGTGACGATGTTCTTTCATTTTCTTGGTCATATGATCGAAAAATGCAAATTTAAAATTGCAAGTTTAAAATGAAAGTAATTTATCTATACTATGTGAGAGGGTTATATAAAGATATGTATACTACAGTTTATTGTATGATTTTTTTATTGAATTAAATTTTAATCAAGAAATCTTGTATTTTTTCACAATAGCTCTGTTATATAGTGCACTATGCAAGTTTTATATTTGTTTATTTGATAAGTTGTATAAGGAGTCGAAACAATATTAATAGTTTTATAATTATGAATTTTATATGTTTATGAGAAAACATAGAACATAAAAAGTCCAAACTGCATATCAAAGCAAAATTTTAAATCGAAATTTCATATCGCATTGTGAAACTGGCTCTGATAAACCTCGTTAGATTTGCAACTTGGCATTCTAATATTATGATTTTTTTAGATTATTATTTTTTATATTATTATATTTGTATATTTTGAGAAATCAAAATTAACAATAACGTACATGAAAAAATTTTACTAGCCAAATAGGCCTTTGCTAGAGTAATGAAAAGTACGATGGAGATAGGTTTGATAACAAGGTGAGCAAAAGGGATTGACGCTTAACTCGTAGAAGTTAATAAAATATTTTTTCATTTTCAATCCTATGTAAAGACCATCACTGAATATTAATGATTTTTATTAATTTTGGTTGTGGATTGTAAAGATATAAATAGTAGTTGATGAATCAAAACACGACCATTCTATTAATGAACCACTCTAAAAAAGGAAAAGCGTACTTATAAAAATATTACAAATTGTACGGTTTGAATAATTTGATCATAATAGTCATTAAATTTCATGGCTATGTTATAATTTATAAACACGAAGTATGATTTATATTTCAACTTTATCCATCATAGTAGCTTTCAATATTTATACATAATTAGAGTGACTTTTTTTTTAGATTTTATTTAAATTTATGTAAAATTCATACAGACTCGTATCTCTTGCATAATCTTCAACTTGTACCCGTCATGAATAACTTAAAATTCACACGCGCTGTTTTGCATCTATTTCGTTTCATTGCCATCCCTAATTGGAGAGAATGAAAGTACACAAAAATAACATATTACATTTATTATTCAACTATTTGAATTTGAAATACGTGAAATAATAAATACATAATACATACATGTTAGCTTTGATTCGAGGCAATTTATTTCCATCACATTGTATCGCTTGTGAAATTCGATACAACGGCTTGCCAAGACTTTCAAGAAGTTGAATGACATATTGGTGTGGTTAGAAGCCCGCGAAATAAACAAACATGATGATTTATGCAAATACAAATTATTTATGCAATCTCAAGGAAATTAACAAAGATATATGAACTTAATTGTAAAAAATACGTTTGATCATACATAACTAACAAAGTAAAAAAACAGAAAATATTTAACGCTAGTATGATCAAATTTCAAATCGAAAGTCTAGGGTTGAAAAATTGCATGTTTGACTTCCCACACTAAAAAAAATATGAATCTCAAAATTTCATAAATTTAATTTTCACCTCGAAATGTCTAAAGTTAAATTATAAATGTATGAAACATTAATTTAGATCCCAAATGTTTGAAATTAAACTTTACCAACTTTTAAAATTAAAATTGTAAAGTAACTTTGACATTTTCAATTCAAAACTTAACTTTATATCAAACTGAATAAAAATTAAATTTTATCCCTATACTTCTATTATTTCAAGCATGAAAATAAAAAAAATTATAATTTTGTAAAAAACGTAACATTGCACAATCGATTAAATATTTTCTAGAATAATATCCGTCGTAAAAAAAATAGATCTAGTAAAACTAGCATTACCTATCTAGAAACTTCCCATCATATCGTATGTATCGGTTCAAATGTAATACATGTACATTGAAATAGAAAAATATAGAAAGTGGAAGCAATGTATGAAGTTTTCTCTTATTGGGTTAAAATTTAAATACTTTAGATAAAAATTGAGTAGATTTTAAATGATATCCTTAAAAGTGGCTATCTATTGCAAATCATACACGAGAAAGTCCCGAAAACGGAGGCCCATTTCACTTTCAGCCCAAACCCAACTTTTCTTGTGCAAAGGGAAAAGTGCACAAACAAAACTCCGATCAGTGTTGTTACTCTGCTATTTTTTCTCCGATCGAAGATCAACTATTCCGATTTCCGACGATGAATGTAAGTTTTTTGTGTTATCTCGCGTTGAATCGAAGAATTTTGTTGTAATTCTTTGTAATTTTTGTGTGGAAATGGTGATGTTTTCAGGTGATGGATTCAGCTCCGGCTAAAAGTAGCTTAATGAGTCCCGAATCTGATATTCAGAGAACACAGTACGTGCTCTCTTCCACTCTTTGCGTGTTATGAGATTTTACAGATCTGATTTGTAGTATGTTTGATGTTTTTACGAAATAGGGTTTTTGTTCTTATTTTACAAAAATAAAATAAAATAGAAGAGGCACATAGTTTTAGTAGCTCAGCTGGCTGGTTTGTTCGCTACCTGTATTTTCACCTAGTGGTTCTTTTGAGCAGAGTGTCTGTGGAAACCATCCCAATGCAGTGGTAAGGTCTACGTACACACTACGCTTCCCAGACTTGACTTGTGGGATTACATTGGGTAATGTTGTTGTTGAGTGTTTTTCTGGATGCTATTAGCTAGGCTTAAGTTAACTCTATGTTAATATGTATGTTTAAGGATGTTTTTACTGCAAGAGTTACCAGCAAAAGTAATGCTTTTCAGGCGAGTTTTTGAACTTTCCTCTGTGTGGTGGGGAAGCCTTTAGGCATATTTGGTTGATTTATAAACATTTACATAGGCGGGGGTAGAGTAGAAGGTACGAGTTTTGCTTATTCCAATAGCTTTCGTCCAACGTTTCCAGACCTTGGATTTGTCTTTAAAAGATCTGTTTAATATGTTGACATTATTAATTTAGGATGCAGTAACACAAAAGGGTTTCGATCCTGATTCCATTAACATCTAATCCTAGGTGTACCTATGTACATAAGGATGCTGGTGAAGAGCATTGGATATGGAGGAAAATGTTCCAGGTAGAAATATGTTTTCACTAGAAAAGAAGTTTCTTTTAGTGAAAAAAATATGTTTTGGATGGTTTGTCGGTGTTTGGTTAGGTGTGAAAGTATGTGACATATGGTAGTAATACAAGATGGAAGAATATATGTTTATGCGGATATTTTCTAGTGATACTCTTAAGTATTTAAGATTGACTACGATGTTTAAGCACTAGTTGAGCAAAATGATGTTAGTAAGTGTTTCGATACTTATAAAGGACTTATGCTCATAAGTAACATCTATTTCCCTTTAAGCTGAAAATAGTTTATTTCAGAAAAACAACATCAACATTTTTCACGGAACATTTCTGCCATGCCAAATGATTGATTTTTGATCTTTACTGGAGTTCTCAGTCTGTGGCTTATGGTATTATGAACCTGTAATTTTGTTTTCCCGAGTAGAAGGAATGAGGTGCGGGGTTAAGTTGAGATCTCATCTTGCGTGGCTCTTGGATTTTTGCTTCCTAGGATACATCTGGACCACAAAGGAGTTTGCAAATACATTTGGGCCAGAAATAACTTTGCGGATATCTGGTCCAGAAAGGAATTTGCAAACTGTATTTACCTGTTTCAGCTGCTTATGCTCTTACCGGTGGGTTTCACTGGGATGTTAAAGCTGCTTATGCTTTTAAGTTGTTGGACTTAATCTTCATACACGCTAAAAAGTGAAAATAAAAGCATTACAGAGGATGAACTAGGTATAAATCCTTTAGTGAGGATGGCTGAGTGTTTATAAACAACCTCTCTACCCCACAAACATAGGGGCATGGTCTCAAAATCCTTTAATGAGGAGGGCCGAGTGTTTATCGGAAACAACCTCTCTACCCACAAAGGTAGGGGCATGGTCTGCGTACATCGTATCCTCTCTAATCCCTACTTATGGGACTACACTGGGTATGTTGTTATTATTGTTGTAGTGAGAAGGAGAGTCATATAACAGATTAAAATTATTGAATGAGAGTATCTGCATGTTGGAAGAGATGTGCAGCTCTTTGTATGTACCATATCCTTTGCATGCATGGGAGATGTAGTTAAATTTAAGAGTACCAACAATGTCATGCAGCAAATTTTTACCTTATGGATACATGCTCACTCGTGCAATGAGATTGTATTTATGTAATTTTCCTTTATAATTCCTTACTGTGCTCGAGATGTTTGCAATTTTAACTTGTATTGTTCTCAATAGGTTTCCATATGTGACTGGGACATCAGTTGTCGGCATCAAGTACAAAGATGGTATTCTCTTGGCAGCTGACATGGGAGGTTAGCTTCTATATCAAAGATTTTGTCCCAATCAGTGCTCCGATTTTTTCAAAAAAGTATATCACATGGTTCCGTCACTAGGGAAAAGGGATAGAGAATTGAAAGATCTCCTATAGAAGTTCTCTTTTGTCATTTTAATATTATTTGATGTTAAATAAACCCTCCAATACATGCTAGAGATAATGTAGTATGTGTTGTCATCTTCTTTCTTTTTCCATTTTCAGGTTCCTATGGTTCAACGATACGTTACAAGAGTGTGGATCGATTAAAGCCAGTGGGAAAACACTCCCTTCTTGGTGCAAGTGGTGAAATAAGTGATTTTCAGGAGATAATGAAGTACCTTGATGAGCTTATGTACGTCTGTCCTTATTCTTGTTTATTGTTATTGTTTATATAATTTTTGATGGGCAACAGTTCTGGTATTCAATGCTTCGTAAATGCATGCAGCTTGTATGACAACATGTGGGATGATGGGAACTCCTTGGGTCCCAAAGAAGTGCATAACTACCTAACACGTGTGATGTATAATCGTCGCAACAAGTTCAACCCACTTTGGAATTCACTTGTTCTTGGTGGAGTAAAAAATGGACAGAAGTATCTTGGAACAGTAAAACACAATACACTGTCTTGCTTAATTTTAGACAGATCGTCTCAATTGCATCCCTTACTGATAATGCTTGTGTTTTTTTCTTTTATTCCTTAGGTTAGTATGATTGGTGTGCATTACGAGGACAACCATGTGGCTACTGGATTTGGGAATCATCTTGCGAGGCCCATTCTTCGTGACGAATGGCATGAAAATTTGAGTTATGAAGAGGGCGTTAAGTTATTGGAGAAATGTATGCGTGTGCTTTTGTATCGAGACAGATCTGCAGTCAACAAGCTTCAGGTACAGAGTCCTCCTGGGGTTTAGGTAGAAAGTCAGTGCTTTAGAACTAATCAAAATGAAACCTCTTAATTTGCCAAGATGTGTTCCCGGAACTTCTTTCGTCAAACCTATAGTTTATGAGTTTCCTGGTAATTGTAGTTTTAATTGTGGGTCTATAGCTCTGAATTTTGCATCTGTTGTCATTCCTACAAGTACCAAGACTATAGTCTGATTCTGCATTTTCATAATCTGTCACTGCTTTCCTTTTCTAGAATAAAAAATAAAATCTACCACTATTTATTTCTAATTTCTGGCACCAATCATCCTTTTTAATTATATTGCCGCAAGGAAGTATTTCTCTACTAGATATGAACAATAAGACAGGTTTAGTGTGCTCTAGCGGAAGCAGAAGAGCTTATACTTCGATCTTCAAGTTCCATAGCATTTGCTCCCTAGATCTGCTCAATGTAGATATCTATTGTGGTTGACTGAAGGTTGGTTTCTTGTTTTTGTACTTTAGATTGAAATGGGAAAAAAATAATGGTAAGGTTGTTGAATAATGGAGGTGAACGTGATGATTGCATGTATAGATTTCCTTTCTGATACAGAATTCATCATCAAGCTCATTTTAGATAATATAGTTGTGAGATTTGTCTGCTCTTTCTTTGTGATTTTATTCTGATGTTTCTCGGACTTGCAGATTGCAAAAATCACAGAAGAGGGAGTAACAATTTCTCAGCCATACTCATTGAAGACTTTCTGGAACTTCTCTGCTTTCCAGAATCCAACCGTTGGTGCTGAGGGTTCATGGTAATAACTGATTGCTGCGTCGACTAGGTTTGATGAAGGAACTACACAATGTGTTGCAGATTATAGAACTGTTTTCATGGAAGTGATGTTTGATAGAACTCGTGTAATTTGAATTGTCTATGGTCTTTCTAGGTTTTTTCCTAATGTAAACTATAAAAGACATGTCTCCTGATGTTTCACTTTTCCTTCACTATGTGAGATTGTTATCTTCCAAAGTTACTTGGCATGCCATGGCTCATCTCAGTTATGGAACGTGGTCGTTTTTCGCCTGGTTGATATATTTTCTAAGTTCATACAGAAGTACACGCCCCTGGTTTACCTACTTTTAAGTTGCGTTGCTTGGACTCTTGACAATTTTGTCACATTCAAGTGTTTGATCCTCTAAAAATGCTCTATTTTTGGAGGATCAACATAGTCGGAGACATCTTTTTGAAGAGTTTGAGCTATGTTATCGACACTTATCCAGAGATATTGAGCAATACAGAGCTTCCAAGAGATGCTTAATATTACAATTGTAATTATTAAGCATCATTTGCGATCTCATTGTTATGGGCACCTTAGTCCATGCTTGTGCAAATTCTCTTCAAAAGGTTTTTCAATGTCAAAAGGATACATGAAGATTTTTTAACTAGAGTATTATTGTTCATTATAGAAATCTTTCCTACGTTTTCTTAAATGCAATGGTAAGATGAAATTCTACTTTGATCTAGGAATGAACGTGAAGAGATCAACGATACTTCTTTTATCTTTTGAGTTGTTTTATTGGATCGGCTTTTCATAATCTTTGGTCTTATTTGAATCCGATAAGAAAAATGAGACTACTTGTGAACTCGGTGAGAATGATTTTGATCCAGTTCATGATAACCCATAATATTATTGCAAAAATTGGTCCAACTGTGAGGTATGGGATGGGGTGAGCAATGTATATTATCAGTAAGTCATTTTTTGTAAAACAGATTTTTAAAAAAACGAGTCATGAAGATGTTCCATTAAATTAGATAGAAGCTCTCACTAGCTAATTAGTTTAAAGATATATTCTATAATCCAATTCATTTTTAGTTATTAATAAAATTAAAATAGTTTATTGTCCCATTCGAATCGGTTACTATGAAAGATCCATATGTTGGATTTACTTGTTATGTAGATGAGGATGACTCAGCCTCGTTACTATAGTTTGTTATGCAACACCTCTGAGTTATCTGTATGCATTACAGTACAGTTTAACAATTGAAATTTTCTCTTCAGAGGCTAATGTGTGGATGTACCTTTGCAATTGCACCCTTCCAGGAACAAGATTTCCTCATCCTCGGCTGGTGTAGTCGATGGAGTATTCTTTTGGTTTGATAGTAATGGACAATGGATGACTGTTTTTTGATTTGATAGTGTAGAAAAGCGATTTTGGGCTTTGGAATTACCTGAAGGAAGGACAATGATCTATATCCCAATAGTTGTTGTCTTTGTTTTTTAAGGTGGGGAACTCTGTTTTGCTTGTAATTGTTTTGACTACCATCACTTGTTGGCGACTCAGCCATTTTCCTAGTTGAGATAATGCAGTATAGGTTTGGAAGTATGTTGTAGATGTTGCTACTGTATTTCAGAAATGTTCAGACGATTTTGGACTTGCAGGAGGCAGTGATCTTGGTATGGATGTTCGGAATATGATTTTTCATCCTGCTCTTCCGCAAACCTAGGAAAAGTTATTTCTTGTGATGTATTCACACGTACTGCAGAACTTGTACATGATTTTGTAGAAGCTTGGCGAAAGACCCAAGGATACAAATTGTTTTCCTATGAGTGTCCTCAATGGCCGCGACTCCTGTAGACTATCAACAGGTATTAGTTACATATTCATACTTCTAATAATACTAGCATTTACTTAGTTACTTTTGTACTCACCGTTGTTCTCCACACCTTTGTTCTGCAGGTTCTGAGCCCAGTACTAGCGGTACGTGATCCTAGCTTTAAGTTATCCATATATCGAAGTTCCTGGATGTAGCCTGGCTTTTTCACAGCTTCCTCACGTCTCTCTTGTTTACTGTCATTATCCTTCGGACAGTTCTATACATTTCAAATTCTTACTCATGTCACTGGATTTTTCGGGTTGTAACTGTATTCTTTTAAATTTCTGTGTTGATTTATGGAAGTATGACTTTACTTCCGTTACTTATCTACTTATATTCCGTGTTTGTTTACCTATCGTTGATAGGCTATGCGCCATCATGACCTTGTTATTTAGGTCGTGACTGTTCGGTTCATACTGATTATGATTTCTCATACTGTACAACCATGTGATTGACGTGATGGAATCATGTTCCCTATAAGAATGTTCCATAGTTGATGCAATTGTTTTCTTTCTCACAAAAGAAAAACAACGTTCCTTATAAGAATGTTCCATAGTTGATGGAACATGGTTCCATCACTGTTCTGTTCATGCTGATTATGATTTCTCATACTGTACAACCGTGTGATTGACGTGATGCAATAATGTTCATGCAATTGTTTTCTTTCTCACAAAAGAAAAACATCATTCCTTATTTGAAACCTATTGAATGATTGACATTCCATCCGCTATTGGGAAGTATTGCAGGATATAAACAAAACCTCGCCTTCTCAACCCAACCCCTTGTTTTAGGTATTTCTGTTTTCTGCCATACTCCTTGACCAGCTCATGAGCAAGTATGATGTTATAACAACTATTTTCTTCCAGGTATAAATCATACTTGCATCACAAATGACACTTGCTATTACCTGGCCGCTAAAACCTTGGCTATAATCTTATATTCAACCGAGCAACAAAAAATAGGCCAAAATTCTTTCACTGTTTGAGGTCCAGAATAATTTGGTACCAAAGTAATAAGGGTACAGTTAATTGCTCTATGGATTCTGCCAGTAGCAAAGAGTTGAAGTATTACTCTTCATGTTTTGTCACCGGCCACACTTTTCTAAAGAACAGTGAGCTGTACCCATCAATCCCCGAGGCTTTATCATCATCTATAAAGATTGTAGTCCTTCCCATATATCTTGGTCAGTTGTTGGTGCACATAAGCCAATTCTCTGTTAGATGGTTTAGCACAGGTCCATTGATCATAATAACTCTATCTACTGTGGAACTTTAATACATCTTCTAAGTTCCTCATCTCCTTTTACTTGTGCATTTTACCTTGTAATTTTAAATGCCAGAAATCTACTAAAAAGTTAATACACCCTTCGGCCCATTGTAGTTAGAATTAATTATTTAAACTCAATTAATGTGAAAGAAAAATGAATTAATGTCATGAAAAAGATAATGATATTGAAGCGGAGGAGTTCCACTTTTTCATTTCTAATTAAGGTAAAATTCGAATTGAGACTTCAATAATCTCATATACTTTTTTCTTTCCCAAAATCAATTGAATCTTTGTCCAATTGAAATATCTTCTCTACAATTTCACCCTTGAGTGAACATTAATCTCGCTTTTCTTCGACTAGCCTAGAGCTTCCCCTCTTCCTCCTAAGCGAGAGAGAATCAGCTGCTCCACTTTGTAGAGAGGGGTATAGGAAGCTGATCTGCTCCTTCTGTTGAATCCGATTTCACCTCTGGCGGAGGGGGAAAATTCAAATCCATAGAAGTCTAAGCGGTCATGTCATCTTGTTGATATTGATTGACTTCTTCATTCTTTTAAGGGCTCATATCTTTGTGGGAATAGTAGTTCAACTTGCAGGTATTATTAGAATGAAACGTCAATGCAAATTGTCTGTTCTTGAGGTAATCATAATCAATATACTGAATTGTTTGCCTTTGAAATCGCTTGCGAAGTTTGATGCATATCAAAGAACTGGCAAAAAGACATTACTGAAATTTACCGTTGTCGTCTCCGGTAGCCTGAACTCTTTCTACCGTTGTTATCTCCGGTAGCCTGAAATTTGATATGGTTCAAGCCACTGAAGATGACAACAGTAAATTTCAGCAGTGTATTTTTGCCAGTTTTTTGATATGCATCAAACTTTGCTAGCGATTTCAGAGGCAAACGATTCAGTATATTGATTATGATTTCTTAAGAACAAACAATTTGCATTGACGTTTCATTCAAATAATACCTGCAAGTTTGAACTACTATTCCTACAAAGACATGAGCCCTAAAAGAATGAAGATGTCAATCAATATCAACAAGAGGACCTGACCGCTTAGGCTTCTATGGATTTGAATTTTCCCCATTAGCCATTGGTGAAATCAGCCTCGAATTTAACAGAAAGTAGACTGATTCTCGTCACTTAGGAGGAAGAGGGGAAGCTCTTGGCTCTAGGCTAGTCGAAGAGAAGCGAGATTGATGTTAATTCAAGGGTGAGATTGTAAAGAAGATGTTTCGATTGGACCAAGAATTAATTGATTTTGGGAAAGAAAAATAGATGAGATTATTAAAGACTCCATTCTAATTTCACCTAAATTAGAAAATGAAAAAGTGGAACCCCTCCACTTCAATGTTAATACTGTTCTCTTTTTCACGACATTAATTAATTTTACTTCACATTAACTCAGTAAAAAAAATAAATTAATTATGTTTTGATTTCTAACTAAAATGCGCTGAAGGGTGGATCAACTTTTTAATTGTCATAATAACTCAAAACTAATAATACATTTCTAAGTTCCTCAACTCTTCTTTTACTTGTGCATTTTACCTTGTAATTTTGATGCTAGACATCTACTAAAAAGTTAATACACCCTTCGGCCCATTTCAGTTAGAACTTATTATTACTCAATTAATGTGAAAGAAAAATGAATTAATGTCGTGAAAAAGGTAATAATATTGAAGCGGAGGAGTTCCACTTTTTCATTTCTAATTAAGGTAAAATTCGAACGGAGTGTTTAATAATCTCATCTATTTTTTCCTTTCCCAAAATCAATTGATTCATTGTCCAATTGAAATAGCTTCCCTACAATTTCACCCTTGAGTGAACATCAATCTCGCTTTTTTTCGACTAGCCTAGAGCTTCCCCTCTTCCTCCTAAGCGAGAGAGAATCAACTCCTCCACTTTGTAGAGAGGTATAGGAAGTTGATATGCTCCTTCTGTTGAATCCGAGACCGATTTCACCTCGAGCGGAGGGGGAAAATTCAAATCCATAGACACCTAGGCGGTCATGTCATCTTGTTGATATTGTTTGACATCTTCATTCGTTTAGGGCTCATAGCTTTGTGGGAATAGTAGTTCAACTTGCAGGTATTATTCGAATAAAATGTCAATGCAAATTGTTTGTTCTTGAGGAAATCATAATCAATATACTGAATTGTTTGACTCCGAAATCGCTAGCGAAGTTTGATGCATATCAAAGAACTGACAAAAAAAACATTACTGAAATTTACCGTTGTCGTCTCCGGTAGCCTGAACTCTTTCTACCGTTGTTATCTCCGGTAGCCTGAAATTTGATAAGGTTCAAGCCACTGAAGACGACAACAGTAAATTCCAGCAGTGTATTTTTGCCAGTTTTTTGATGTGCATTAAACTTTGCTAGCGATTTCAGAGGCAAACGATTTAGTATATTGATTATGATTTCCTTAAGAACAAACAATTTGCATTGACGTTTCATTCAAATAATATCTGCAAGTTGAACTACGATTCCAACAAAGACATGAGACCTAAAAGAATGAGAGATGTCAATCAATATCAACAAGAGGACCTGACCGCTTAGGCTTCTATGGATTTGAATTTTCCCCATCAGCCATTGGTGAAATCGGCTTCGAATTCAACAGAAAGTAGACTGATTCTCGTCACTTAGGAGGAAGAGGGGAAGCTCTTGGCTCTAGGCTAGTCGAAAAGAAGCGAGATTGATGTTCACTCAAGGGTAAAATTGTAAAGAAGATGTTTCAATTGATCAAAAAATCAATTGATTTGGGAAAGAAAAATAGATGAGATTATTAAAGACTCCATTCGAATTTCACCTAAATTAGAAAATGAAAAAGTGGAACCCCTCCACTTCAATGTTAATACTTTTCTCTTTTTCACGACATTAATAAATTTTTCTTCACATTAATTCAGTAATAAATAAATAATTAATTATGTCTTGATTTCTAACTAAAATGCGCCGAAGGGTGGATCAACTTTTTAATTGTCATAATAACTCAAAACTAATAATGGGTGTTCGGTTGTTCAAAACTTCATAAAGCCAAGCAAGGAATTAATGGATTTTTGAAAACTAATGGACTATAAATTCTTTTTTGGTGTCGTGGCTTCACAACACTATTGAACCTACACTTCACTAGACTATATCAGATAGAGAGGAAGCTTAGGAATTGTGAACTATTTTGCGGTCATGAACGGTCCCCAAATGCATCAATTGAAGGCTGAATTGGCCGGATCTACGCAGTAGAGTATGACCATAGTTCATTATTATGGTAAGCTGACAAAGTTGTAGGAGGAATTAGCACTTGAAATTGCCATGTGAAGGTGAAATTTTGTTCACACCCTGTATTACTTGTCATACTACCAAATGCCAATAATCTATATGTTTTGAATAAACAACACCTAGGATTGTTTTTTTGGTCCGAAAAAAGTAACTACATTTAACTATTAAATGTTGTCACAGGGAACATCATCGCGCCAGCCACACAGTGGTATAGTATGAAAAATCATAATCAGCCCACTACTTGGACATTACAAAAAGATGGTTTCGTCTAATTCAAAGGAGGGGGGGGCTGTTAAGAAATCTTAATTTTACCTCCTCTTATGCTGCTTCATCTGTACTTCGCCAAACAATCTGACAACATGTTTTGTTCCCTGCAATCACGAAAAATATTAGCATACTGTTAACAATCATGCTGGTTGACACAGGAGAAGATCATTATTCAAACTTTACAACATTCATACAGGGAACATGATTCCATCGCATCAGTCGCACGGTTGAATAGTATGAGAAATTATAATCAGCATGAACGGAACTCTAACAAACAAAAAAACAAGGTCATGATGGCACCTATTCTAACCCACTGATAGCCTATGGTGATATGTAAGCAAACACGGGATAGAAGTAGATAAGTAGCAGAAACGAAGTCTTAAAGACGTACTTCCATAAGTTAACCCAGAAATACAAAAGAATAAAGTTACAACACCAAAAATCCAGTGACATGTGTGCAAAGCATCTATGACAACGTTTTTGTACAACAAGTGTCATTCCCATCCTACTATAAGACTATAAAAAAGTTCACAAAAATGATACATATATCTAAATTCAAAGTAAATTTTAGAATTAGAAGTGTTCTTTGATAAAAAAAAGTTCATTGATCAAAATTTTCCTCATCAGTTTCTCGTATTTGATCAAAATTTTGTTTTTTTGGAAATAGATCAAATCAAAATAAATTCCACTTATATTCCATTACAATTTAGGAAAAAAAACACAAGCAAACAGAAGCTGGAATGCTTAAATTGAAAGAGTATGACGAGGTGTAAATATAACTTCCTTTTAAAGTTTAGGGGCAAATATGACCCTTTTTTGTTATTTTTTTCTTGAGGATTACGCAAGACCTTATCCTAGCAACTAAATGGAAACAAAGGGAGTTGTTTTGTGTTATACGTTACTTCTTCCGTCCAAATAAGTGTCCCTTTAGCTCATTTCGCACCCATTAAGAAAAATTATAAAATAGAAGGTATAGTTTTTTGTCTTAAATTTAAATTAAGGTCACACTTATTTTCGAATAATTCTTTTGGTTAAATAATACTTACTTGGAACACACGGAGTACTAATTTTACTTGCTATATGTTTTTGTAACTGATTTTACTTGCTATATGTAACAACAATATAACCAGCGTCGTCACCATCTAAGCCTACTAATATGGAGCAAACTGGGCAGATTATTCCTCCTACTAAGGAGAGAGTTGATGGTCCAAATGTGACAGGGGAAACGATTAGTACTAAAAGAGCAGCAGAAGTAGGGAGTACTAATGAGCTAGACTTATCTAACTTCCCTGCTCTCACTAGTAACATCAATACTGGTAAGAGTCCGAAAAGAAAATCTGGTGTACACCACTCACCCCACGACAAAGTATCGGAGGTGGTCTCAAACTACCAAATGAATTGGCTATTTTGGAATGTGAGGGGTAAATAAACGACATAAACTGAGGAGATGAGGAATTTCCTGAAATTAAATCACGTCAAACTTGCTGGATTAGTCGAAACAAAAGTCAAGGAACTTTTACTAGAAGCATATGACAGTGGTGCTCCAAATTGAAAGATGGAAAGTAATCATCACAAGGCTATCAATGGTAGGATCTGGATCATTAGGGACCCCAACATATATGAAGTAGAATGCATTAGAGAGGAAGCTCATTTGTCAGATCGTCATTTGAAAGAAACGCAAGGATCATACCGGCTGAAAGTGTACTGAACCAAAATCGCTCACAAATTTCTGAATATGTACTGAGCAACAGTAGGAGGTTCACGACCATAGAGAGACTGGAAAGGGGTCATACCCGCTGAAGTTTGAAACAAAGTATTGAACAAAAATTCCGCCCATGGCAGCATAGCAACCCACTGGGAAGGCTCCTCAGCGACATAGCAATGCAAGTATTTGCAAATACAAGATGTCCAGAAAAGCAGGATGAGAAACCATGTCCCGAACTTCCATATCAAGAGCAATATCAAGAGCATTGCCTCCTCCAAGTCCAAAAACCTCTGGACATTTCTGTACTACAGTAACAACATCAACATCATACTTCCTAATCCATACTGCACCTCAACTATGAAATTTGTTTGAGTCATCGACAACTTATGGTTGTTGTTATATTGGGCTAATGGCAATGATTTCACTTTTGAACTCATTTACCTACAGAAGATGCACTATTGGAGGCTGCCAACCAGTTCTATTCACAAACACTAAGGCAACTATATAAAACTTGCAATTCTCATTAACAATTGAAATCAGACATGTATCCGAGTTATTTGTATGCATTACAGTACAGTACAGTTTAACAATTGAAATTTTCTCTTCAGATGCTAATGTGTGGACTGCTAATAAACAAATTGAAGATGTACCTTTGCAATTGTACCCTTCCAGGAATAAGATTTCCTCATCCTCGGCTGGTGTAGTCGATGGAGTATCTTTGGGATTGATAGTAATGGACAATGGATGACTGTTTTTGTTAGTGTAGAAAAGCGATGGGCTTTGGAATTACCTGAATGGAGGATAACAACCTATCCCAATAGTTGTTGTTCTGGTTTTTCAGGTGGGGAACTCTGTTTTGCTTGTAATTGTTTGACTACCATCACTTGTCGGCGACTCAGCCATTTTCCTACTCGAGATAATGCAATATGGGTTTGGAAGTATGTTTTAGATGTTGCTAAAGTATTTCAGAAATGTTCAGACGATTTTGGACTTGGAGGAGGCAGAACTCTTGGCATGGAGGTTCGGAACATGATTTTTCATCCTGCTCTTCCGCACATCTAGAAAAAGTAATTTCTTGTGATGTATTCACACGTACTGCAGAACCTGTATATGATTTTGGAGAAGCTTGGCGAAAGACCCAAGGATACAAATTGTTTTCCTATGAGTGGCCTCAATGGCCGCGACTCCTGTAGACTATCAACAGGTATTAGTTGCATATTCATACTTCTTCTAATACTAGCATTTACTAAGTTACTTTTTGTACTCACCGTTGTTCTCCACACCTTTATTCTGCAAGTTCTGAGCCCAGTACTAGCGGTAGGTGATCCTAGCTTTATGTTGTCCATATATCAAAGTTCCTGGATGTAGCCTGGCTTTTTCACAGCTTCCTCACGTCTCTCTTGTTTATTTCCTGTCATTATCCTTCGGACAGTTGTATACATTTCAAATTCTTACTCATGTCACTGGATTTTTCGGGTTGTAACTGTATTCTTTTAAATTTCTGTGTTATTCCGTGTTTGTTTACCTATCGTTGATAGGCTATGCGCCATCATGACCTTGTTATTTAGGTCGTGACTGTTCTGTTCATGCAGATTATGATTTCTCATACTGTACAACCGTGTGATTGACGTGATGGAATCATGTTCTCTGTAAGAATGTTTCATAGTTGATGCAATTGTTTTCTTTCTCACAAAAGAAAAACAACATTCCTTATTTGAAACCTATTGATGATTGACATTCCATCCGCTATTGGGAAGTATTGCAGGATATAAACAAAACCTCGCCTTCTCAACCCAACCCCTTGTTTTAGGTATTTCTGTTTTCTGCCATACTCCTTGACCAGCTCATTAGCAAGTATGATGTTATCAACTATTTCCTTCCAGGTATAAATCATAATTGCGCATCACAAATGACACTTGCTATCACCTGGCTGCTAAAATCTTGGATATAATCTTATATTCAACCGAGCAACAAAAAATAGGCCAAAATTCTTTCACTGTTTGAGGTCCAGAATAATTTGGTACCAAAGTAATAAGGGTACAGTTAATTGCTCTATGGATTCTGCCAGTAGCAAAGAATTGATGTATTGCTCTTCATGTTTTGTCACCGGCCACACTTTACTAAAAAACAGTGAGCTGTACCCATCAATCCCCGAGACTTTATCATCATCTATAAAGATTGTAGTCCTTCCCATATATCTTGGTAAGTTGTTGGTGCACATAAGCCAGTTCTCTGTTAGATGGTTTAGCACAGGTCCATTGATCATAATAACTCTATCTACTGTGGAATTTTAATACATCTTCTAAGTTCCTCATCTCCTTCTTTTACTTGTGCATTTTACCTTGTAATTTGATGCTAGACATCTACTAAAAAGTTAATACACCCTTCGGCCTATTTCAGTTAGAATTTATTAATACTCAATTAATGTGAAAAAAAAATGAATTAATGTCGTGAAAAAGGTAATAATATTGAAGCGGAGGAGTTTCACTTTTTCATTTCTAATTAAGGTAAAATTCGAACTGAGTCTTTAATAATCTCATCTATTTTTTCCTTTCCCAAAATCAATTGATTCATTGTCCAATTGAAATAGCTCCCTACAATTTCACCCTTGAGTAAACATCAATCTAGCTTTTCTTCGACTAGCATAGAGCTTCTCCTCTTCCTCCTAAGCGAAAGATGATCAGCTCCTCCACTTTGTAAAGAGGGGTACAGGAAGCTGATCTGCTCCATCTGTTGAATCCGATTTCACCTCTGGCGGAGGGGGAAAATTCAAATCCATAGAAGCCTAAACAGTCATGTCATCTTGTTGATATTGATTGACTTCTTCATTCTTTTAAGGGCTTATATCTTTGTGAGAATAGTAGTTCAATTTGTAGGTATTATTAGAATGAAACGTCAATGCAAATTGTTTGTTCTTGAGGAAATCATAATCAATATACTGAATTGTTTGCCTATGAAATCGCTAGCGAAGTTTGATGCATATCAAAGAACTGGCAAAAAGACATTACTGAAATTTACCGTTGTCGTCTCCGGTAGCCTGAACACTTTCTACCGTTGTTATTTCCGGTAGCCTGAAATTTGATAAGGTTCAAGCCACTGAAGACAACAACAGTAAATTTCAGCAGTGTATTTTTGCCAGTTTGTTGATGTGCATCAAACTTTGCTAGCAATTTCAGAGGCAAACGATTTAGTATATTGATTATGATTTCCTTAAGAACAAACAATTTGCATTGACGTTTCATTCAAATAATACCTGCAAGTTAAACTACTATTCCAACAAAGACATGAGCCCTAAAAGAATGAAGATGTTAATCAATATCAACAAGAGAACTTGACCGCTTAGACTTCTATGCATTCGAATTTTCCCCATCAGCCATTGGTGAAATCGGCCTCGAATTCAACAAATAGACTGATTCGCGCAACTTAGGAGGAAGAGGGGAAGCTCTTGGCTAGTCGAAGAGAAGCGAGATTGATATTCACTCAAGGGTAAAATTGTAAAGAAGATGTTTCAATTGGTCAAAAAATCAATTGATTTGGGAAAGAAAAAATAGATGAGATTATTAAAGACTCCATTAGAATTTGACCTAAATTAGAAAATGAAAAAGTGGAACCCCTCCACTTCAATGTTAATACTATTCGCTTTTTCACGACATTAATAAATTTTTCTTCACATTAATTGAGTAAAAAAAAATTAATTATGTCTTACTAAAATGCGCTGAAGGGTGGGTCAACTTTTTAATTGTCATAATAACTCAAAACAAATAATACATTTCTAAGTTCCTCATCTCCTTCTTTTACTTGTGCATTTTACCTTGTAATTTGATGCTAGACATCTACTAAAAAGTTAATACACCCTTCGGCCTATTTTAGTTAGAATTTATTATTACTCAATTAATGTGAAAAAAATGAATTAATGTCGTGAAAAAGATAATAATATTGAAGCGTAGGATTTCCACTTTTTCATTTCTAATTAAGGTAAAATTCGAACAGAGTCTTTAATAATCTTATCTATGTTTTCCATTCCCAAAATCAATTGATTCATTGTCCAATTGAAATAGCTTCCCTATAATTTCACTCTTGAGTGAACATCAATCACGCTTTTCTTCGACTAGCCTAGAGCTTCCCTCTTCAACCTAAGCGAGAGAGAATCAACTCCTCCACTTTGTAGAGAGGTATAGGAAGTTGATTTGCTCCTTCTGTTGAATCTGAGGCCGATTTCATTTCTAGCGGAGGGGGAAAATTCAAATCCATAGACATCTAAGCGTTCATGTCATCTTGTTGATATTGTTTGACATCTTCATTCGTTTAGGGCTCATATCTTTGTGGGAATAGTAGTTCAACTTGCAGGTAGTATTCGAATAAAACGTCAATGCAAATTATTTGTTCTTGAGGTAATCTCAATCAATATACTGAATTGTTTGCCTCTGAAATCGCTAGCGAAGTTTGATGCATATCAAAGAACTGACAAAAAAACATTACTGAAATTTATAGTTGTCGTCTCCGGTAGCCTGAACTCTTTCTACTGTTGTTATCTCCGGTAGCCTGAAATTTGATAAGGTTCAAGCCACTGAAGACGACAACAGTAAATTTCAGCAGTGTATTTTTGCCAGTTTTTTTATATGCATCAAACTTTGCTAGCGATTTCAGAGGCAAACGATTCAGTGTATTGATTATGATTTCCTGAAGAACAAACAATTTGCATTGACGTTTCATTCAAATAATACTTGCAAGTTGAATTACTATTCCAACAAAGACATGAGCCCTAAAAGAATGAAGATGTCAATCAATATCAACAAGAGAACCTGACCGCTTAGGCGTCTATTTGAATTTTCCCCATCAGCCATTGGTGAAATCGGCCTCGAATTCAATAGAAAGTAGACTGATTCTCGTCACTTAGGAGGAAGAGGGGAAGCTCTTGGCTCTAGGCTAGTCGAAGAGAAGCGAGATTGATGTTAACTCAAGGGTGAAATTGTAGAGAAGATGTTTCGATTGGACCAAGAATTAATTGATTTTGGGAAGAAAAATAGATGAGATTATTAAAGACTCCATTCTAATTTCACCTAAATTAGAAAATGAAAAAGTGGAACCCCTCCACTTCAATGTTAATACTGTTCTCTTTTTCACGACATTAATTAATTTTACTTCACATTAATTGAGTAATAAATAAATAATTAATTATGTCTTGATTTCTAGCTAAAATGGGCTGGAGTGTGTATCACCTTTTCAATTGTCATAATAACTCAAAACTAGTAATAGGCATTCGGTTCTTCAAAACTTCAAAAATCCAAGCAAGGAGTTGATGGATTTTGAAAAGTAATGGACTATAAAATCTTTGCTGGTGTTGTGTCTTCGCAACACTATTGAACCTACACTTCACTTGACTATATCACATAGAGAGGAAGCTTAGGAATTGTGAACTATTTTGTGGGTCATGAACGGTCCCCAAATGCATCAATTGAAGGCTAAATTGGCCGGATCTACACAAAAGGGTATGACCATGGTAAGCTGACAAAGTTGTGGGAGGAATTGGCATTTCCGATTGCCATGTAAAGGTGAAATTTTGTTCACCCCCTGTATTACTGTGATACTACCACATGCCAATAATCTATAGGTTTATAATAAACAACACCTAGGATTGTTTCTTTGGTCCGAAGAAAGTAACTACATTTAACTATTAAATGTTGTTAAAGGGAACATCATAGAGCCAGCCACACGGTTGTATAGTATGAAAAATCATAATCGCCCACTACTTGGGCATTACAAAAAGAGAGTGAACAAAAAGATGGTTCCGTCTAATTCAAAGAGAGGTGGGGGGCTGTTAAGAAATCTTAATTTTACCTCCTCTTATGCTGCTTCATCTGTACTTCGCCAAACAATCTGACAACATGTCTTGTTCCCTGCAGTCACAAATAATATTAGTATAATATTAGCAATCATGCTGATTGACACAGGAGAAGATCATTATTTAAACCTTGCAGCATTCATACAGGGAACATGATTCCATCGCATCAGTCGCACGATTGTATAGTATGAGAAATTATAATCAGTATGAACAGAACTCTAACAACCTAAAAAACAAGTCATGACGACACCTATTCTAACCCACTGATAGCCTATGGTGATATGTAAGCAAACACGGGATAAAAGTAGATAAGTAGCAGAAACAAAGTCTTAAAGACATACTTCCATAAATTAACCCAGAAATACAAAAGAATACAGTTACAACACTAAAAATCCAGTGACATGAGTGCAAATCATCTATGACAACTGTTTTTGTACAACAAGTGTCATTCCAACCCTACTATAAGACTATAAAAAAGTTCACGAAAAAGATACATATATCTAAATTCAAAGTAAATATTAGAACTAGAAGTATTCATTGATAAAATATTCATTGATCAAAATTTTCCTCATCATTTTCTCATATTCATTGATCAAAATTTCATTTTTTGGAAATGGATTAAATCAAAATAAATTCCACTTATATTCCATTACAATTTAGGAAAAACACAAGCAAACAGAAGCTGGAATGCTTAGATTGAAAAGTATGACGAGGTGTAAATATAACTTCCTTTTAAAGTGTAGGGGCAATAATGACCCTTTTTTGTTATTTTTTTCTTGAGGATTACGCAAGACCTTATCCTAGCAACTAAATGGAAACAAAGGGAGTTGTTTTGTGTTATACGTTACTTCTTCCGTCCAAATAAGTGTCCCTTTAGCTCATTTCGCACCCATTAAGAAAAATTATAAAATAGAAGGTATAGTTTTTTGTCTTAAATTCCTAATTAAGATCACATTTATTTTCGAATAATTCTTTTGGTTAAAAATAACACTTACTTGGAACACACGGAGTACTAATTTTATTTGTTATATGTAACAACAATATAAGTGTAGTCACCACCTACGCCTACTAATATGGAGCAAACTGGGCAGATTATTCCTCCTACTAAGGGGAGAGTTGATGGTCCAAATGTGACAGGGGAAAAAATTAGTACTAAAAGAACACCGGAAGTAGGGAACAGTAATGAGCTAGACTTATCCAACTTTCCTGCTCTCACTAATAACATTAATACTGGGAAGAGTTCGAAAAGAAAATCTAGGGTACACCACTCACCCCACAACAAAGGATTGGAGGTGGTCTCCAATCTACCAAATGAATTGGCTATTTTGGAATGCGAGAGGGGTAAATAAACGACATAAACAGAGGAGATAAGGAATTTCCTGAAATTTAATCACGTCAAACTTGCTGGATTAGTCAAAGAAAAGTCAAGGAACTTGTACTAGAAGTATATGACAGTGTTGCTCCAAATTTGGAAGATGGAAGGTAATCATCACAAGGCTATAAATGGTACGATCTGGATCATTTGGGACCCCAACATACATGAAGTAGAATGCATTAGAGAGGAAGCTCATTTGTCACATCGTCATGTGAAAGAAGCGCAAGGATCATACGCGCTGAAAGTGTACTGAAACAAAATCGCTTGCAGTACTGAATATGTACCGAGCAACAGTAGGATGTTCACAACCACAGAGAGACTGGAAAGGGGTTATACACGCTAAAGTATTGAACGAAATTCCGCCCATGGCAGCATAGCAACCTACTGCGAAGGCAACTCAGCGACATAGCAATGCACATATTTGCAAATACAAGATGTCCAGAAAAGCAGTATGAGAAACCATGCTCCGAACTTCCATATCAAGAGCATTGCCTCCTCCGAGTCCAAAAACCTCTGTACATTTCTGAACTACCGTACCGTCACCAACAACATATAGATTTCACATTAACCTGTTATTTTATTAGCCTGATACATTGGGCTAATGACAAGGATTTCACTTTTTGAACTCATTTACCTAATGAAGATGCACAATTGGAGGCTGCTTACCACAAGGCACTAACATTAATGCAATTATATAAAACTTGCAGTTCTCATTAACAATTGAAATTAGTCATGTATAAACATAGAATACTAAATAGGTAAAGGTTATTAATACCTACTACAGAAGATGCCGCCATTGAAGCCACTCATCGGAGAACAACTTGTAGTGCCTTGTCTTCCGCCAAGCTTCTCCAAAATCATACAAAAACCTAGTCGATGCAGCAGCCAGTTATTATCATGAACACTCAGCACCAACAGTTGGATTCATGGCTGCGAAACTGTTACTCCCTCTTCTCTGATTTTTGGAATCTGCAAGTTCGAGAAACATCAGAATAAAATCATGAAAAATCAAAAGGAAATGTTTGAGAATGAGAATGAACTATAAATAATAAAAAAAATAAAACATATATTTTTAGAATAATAAAAACAATAGAACTAATTTTATTTTTTTAAAAAATTAAAAGTAATTGTAAGTTGTAATTATACCATGTAATTCTTGGCAATTCATGAATTGGAGGTGTAATTACGAATGTTCTTTTTGGATGCATAATTAGAATTATATGAATATATTAAATTTTAAAAGTAAAAGGTACTCTCTTCGTTCAAAAATATTTGTCATGTAGCGTTTATCGAAAGTTAATTTGACTAATTTTTAAAGGTAAATTAAATTACATTAATTTCATATTTTAAATAAAAAAATAGATATTCTAAAACTATATGAAAAATACTATAAATTTCAATTTTTTCATAGTAATATGATGAAAAAATGCATCTTAAAATGTTAGTCGACAAACAATATCGGACGGAGAGAATAATTATTAAAAATTTATATTAGATAAATACGAAACTTTATAAATTATATTAAATTAAATATTTAAGATATGTAATATTTTTTGAAAATATATTAATTAATAAACATATGTTCTTAACTAAACGATTTCTTTATACGTTTCAAATTAGTGTATTTTAATTGGATTAAGTTAAAAACTAAAAATACAAAATTGCTACGAATATAATGAAATACATGTTTGGCAAAAAGACTAATATTATAAATAAAATGTGAATGGTCTGGTAGATCCTTATACTTGTATCAGTTTGTATTGGGGACTCTTCTACTTAACATTTTGTCAATTGAATCCTTATACTCAACATAACACAACATATCAAACCTCTTTGACGATAAAAGGATCAAAATAATCCATCTTCTTTGGGTTCATGCTCGAAGTGATCATTGAGTTTTCACATGGAGCACTAATAGTCCCTCATGTTTGTAATATTAGTGCACCTTTAGTCGTTTTTCAAAATTTTACCTATTTTTTTGCATTGATTTATCCATTGCCTATGTATGAGATATTCAATCGTCATTTTATATCTCTATATCAAAGAATGTGAGAAGAAAATCACTTTGTTTTGTTAAGTAGAAATCGTATTGCAGGTAAAGTCTAGAGGCTCATCACGATAATTTCACGCGCAATAGTATAATTTTTTTTTAACCTGCAAATTCATATGTTAAGATGTTCTTAGTTTAGCAGCAGTAATATTTCTAGTGAACAGAACAAGATATTTTTCTTATCACCTTCTGTCAGATAAATTTATTATTTCTATTAAATATATAAAAGACGGTTGGACATTCCTTATATAAATTTTTAGACAAAATTAATGTTAAAAAATAGGCAAAATTTTAGGATAGGACCAAAAGTGCACCAATATTGCAAACATGAGGGACTATTAATACTCCATATGAAAACTCAAGAATCACTTTGAGTCTTAACCTAAAGATGGGGGATTATTTTGAGTCTTTCCTCCCCTTTGACCGTTAATCATCCTTATGTGGCATTAACATAGATGACTTATATTTAAAATTTTAACTTTTACTTTTAAAAAATAAAAATTATTAAAAAAGAAATTAATAAATTTTAAAAATAAATAAAAATATCTTTCTTCTCCATTTCACCTTTTTCTTTGAGACAACCCAATTTCTTCCACATCCTTTTTTATTTCCTTCTTCCTTGCACTCCAAAATATCATAAAGTAATTTAAAATATTATCTTAAATAATTTATATAAGGTAGTGAATACCGATAAACCTTAACTAGTTTTGACGTCTGAATGAGAGAGGGATTGACATTGGAGCCTTTTTTTTTCCGAAGAGACTGTGGGAGGCCATGCTGGACATAACTTGAATAAGTGGCTCTTGGTCGCCAGTGGGGTGCGAGGAGTTGGTGACAGCGGCGAAAAAGATTTGCAGGCCAAAGTTGATAGTGCGGCGATCTAAGATTGTCAATTTTGCGTAGATTGAAAAAAAAGAATGGAAAATGACGAGAGTGTAGGATGGAGATGAAGAGGGGTTTGAGAGTGATAAAATAGAGACTGATGGTGGTGGATTTTTGGTGGTTTCAGGATAATTCACAGTGGGAATGGGTTGGGGAGAAGAACAGGGGCGGCTGATTTGGGGTGTGATTTTTTTTTCTTTTTATTTAATATTTTGGATTAATAATTTTAAAAAACAGTAAATAGAGGTAATTATGACATGTTATTGATTTATGTGACATGGATTTGACATGACATCTTTTTATGGGTGAGTGAATTACACACACAATAGGAGGGGTTTGAAAATCTTGTTTCAATTGAGTTTAAGGGTTCTACTGGTAAAGAGTTAAGTAGAAGGGTCTATAATACAAACTCGAATAAGTACAAGGGTTCACCAGACTATTTTGCCTAAATAAAATGTCATAAATTATCAAAATATTTGACAAAACAGTTTCTACGAAGCCTAACTAAAAAATAAATAACTTGCAATGTGAAGTCTCAAGTCAATATTACTAAACAAGTGAAACTGAAAATGTAACATAAGTTCTAAATTCAAAACAAAATAGTCTTATGTCAAATTTCAACATAACATACATAATTATGATTTAAAAGAAAAAAAAAGTTTGTAACCATACTCAACACAGAATTATATTTTTAATTTAAAAGCTTGAATACGTCAAAATTATGTCGATAAAAATGAAAATGACATAAAAATGGATAATACAAAAAACTGCATTGAATCACACAAAATAAAAATTTAGAACGAGAAGATAATGAAATATTAAAAAGATAATTTTTAGAATAATTAAAACCAAAGTAATAAATTAAAATAATATTAATAAAAAAAATAAGTTGAAACAAAAAACTAAAAATATAAATAAAAAGAAGAAATTAAAAGGTATTCAAATTGTAATTATGTCACGTAGTTACCCACAGTTCAATATCCATTTCAAAGAAATCAGAGAGTGCAATTACTCATTTCAAGTAATTGCATGGTCAATCAAACAGGTCACACAATGTAATTACAACAATTTTAGGACATGTTCGAAAAGTCAGCCTATCAGCTGTACTTACATGACGTGTTTGGTTGGCCTTGTAGATACATGGTCAACGGTAATTGAGTGTAATTGTTGAGGGTAATTTCACTCTCTGATTCTTATGGATTGTTTTGAAAACCACACTTACATAATTAATTTTGATTTTTTGAATTTAATTTTTACAATATATTGTGTATCAAAAACGTATATTTATCATTACATTGTGGCACACAATCATGTTAACATATACTAGGTTATTTAATTAATATCTTGTAATTACGCCAATTTCAATTATCTATTAACTTTCTACACAAATCTTTAGGAGTGAGGCCGGGTAATTGAGTGGATTAGCTAGGGAGATTACACTCTCCAATTCATAAATTGATGGTAATTACAAGCTGATTATTTGTTAATTATTTTGGGAAACTTTAAAAATAGCCACTATAATAAACTTAATTATGCTCCATAACTATAGTTTGCATATTTACGGGGTGTAGCTATAATTTAGGTTGCCTCGTTTGTATAATTCACGAATTTGTATGATTCAATTATTTTTGTATAAATTTGAAATAACGAATTTATATAATTGCAACATCAGAAGTGTAAACAGTTATACAATTTATACTATACAAATTTTGAATTATACAAAGTTATACAAATTTTGAATTATATAAACGTGTGAATTACATAAAACTAAAAAGGTGAGCCGTGTAATTATAGTTTAAAGTTGGTTTCAAATTGTAATTACAACAAACATAGCTATGTAAACTAATTAACTAGTATATATTTGTTTGTTTTTTTTTAGTTCTATTATTTTAAATTTCTTTTTATTTTATTATTCCAAAAATATATATTTTATTTTATATTATTTATATTGATTCTTCTCAAACATTCACCTCTTTTGATTCAATGATATTTTCCCCCTTTCTTTGTGATTTTATTCTGATGTTTTTCAGACTCTCTGATTGCAAAAAGAGAAACAATTTCTCAGCCACAGTTATTGGAACTTTCTGAGAACCAACTGTTGGTGCTAAGGGTTCATGGCATTAACTGGCTGCTGCATCAACCAGGTTCGATGAAGGAACTACACAATGTGTTGCAGATTTTAGAATTCGATATGCCTTCATGGAATCGATGCCTGATAGAAATTGTGTATGAGTTTGGAGAAGCTTGGCGGAAGACAAAGCCCTACAAGTTGTTTTCCTATGAGTGGCTTCAATGGTCGCGCCTTCTGCAATAGGTATTACTAACATTTAATTATCTCGTTAAACATAGATATAAAGGATTAATTTCAATTGTTAATGAGAACTGCAAGTTTTATATAGTTACCTTACTGTTTGTGAGTAGAACTGGTTGGCATCCTCCAATTGTGCATCTTTTGTAGGTAAAATAGTACAAATGTAATAAAAGTTATCATGACTTCAGTGAAATACTCGTCGTTAGCCTAATATACCAGGCTAATAAAGTAACAGGTTAATGTAACAAGAAATAAAATCTTTGAAGTTTAAAAAAATAGTTAGAGGAGAATCTGGTAGACCAAGTGAAAATTGGGAACAATTAGTTTAGATGTACATATTCCGAGAAACATGTATAATATAGAATGTCAATAATAATTTCTCATGGCTTACTCGCAATCAGTACCTTTCTTGTAATCGCTATGTAGCATTGGTGGTACTGGTGAAATAAAGTGTTGTTGGGCTATGGTAAAATCCTGAACGGAGGACACTGATATATCCCAGTAGTTGTTGTCTTGGTTTATCAGGTGGGGACATTTGTTTTGCGTCGAAAATAACAACAACCATCATTTGTTGGTGACTCAACAATTTTCCTAGTCGAGGTGCAGTATGACTTTGGAAGTATGTTGTTGTTGTTGTTACTGTAGTTCAGAAATGTCCAGAGGTTTTTGGACTTGGAGGAGGCAATGCTCTTGATATGGAAGTTTGGAACATGGTTTTTCATCCTGCTATTCCGGACATCTTGTAAGGTTATTTCTTATGACTTGAAACCCCATACCGCAGAAATTGTATATGATTTTGGAGAAGTTCGGCGGAAGACAAAACACTACTTCCTAAAAGTGGCCTCAATAGCCTCGTCTTTTGTAGCAGGTAATACTAACATTTTCTACTTACTTAGTATTGTATCTACTTTGAAGTTAAATATAGATAAAGGACTAATTTGAATTGTTGATGTGAAGTACAAGTTTTATACTGCTTCCCTTAGGTAGGTGACTAGAGCCTGAAAGCTAATGTCGTGTGATAGGCAGCCATAAGTGTGCTTCTTCTGTTGGTAAATGAGTTAACCCCAAACTAGAGGGATTTGATCTACAATTAGGGAGGATAAATATACAAGATATTTATTTCTCAACACTCCCCCCTCAAGTTGGAGGGTTAATATCACGAAATCCCAACTTATTGCGCAATGTCGCAAACTAGTTTCCCCAAAGCTTCTGTAATGATGTTTGCTTATTGAAAGTGCTAAGGAACGATCTATTCATCTTCGTTTGCAGCTTCTATCGAATTATGTGGCAGTCCATTTCATAATGTTTTGTTCACTCATGAAAGACTGGGTTTGCTGCAATATGTAAGACAACTTGATATTTTGTGACAATCAAGTTGCGTAACATTTGGAGCGAACAGTTGAGGAACGAAGGCTTTGGTTGATCAAGACACTTTAATATTAAGATAAAGAGAATAGATTGAAAGGAGGAAAAGAATTTAAAGGATCTTGGAGAAGTTAGCACATATTCACACATTTATAGTGATTTTGTACTAACATAATATAGAAATATACTCTGAGAAACATTTTTAATATATAATGTCTATCAGAATTTCCCATGGATTACTCGCGACCAGTACCTTTTTCATAATCACCACATAGCATTGGTGATACTTTAAATGGAGGCATTGGTGGTGTTTTCCGTAACTTCAAAATTGAAATTATACTCGGATTCTCCAAACACTTACTAATTATGAACAACGTAAATGTTGAAGTAGAGCCTTGTTGTAAGTATTATGGCTTGAAGACAGCCATGACTTCCCTCTCGTTGACATATCTCTAGATGCACATGGAGTTGTAACATGATTAACTAGTTGGTTGACCTCATCATCCAACATGTTTACAGGGAACAAAACATGTTGGGAGATCATTTTGCCAAGTAACGGTTAAGCAAATGGGATGGAAGTAAAATTATGATTTTTGACAGTTCCCCCTAGTTTTTGCAGTATCTGTTTGAAGCAGACGTAATGGGAACTGTATTTTTGTTTGCGTCGTTTTTATAATGCTCAAGTTGTGGGCCCATGTTTTTGTTCTATTCATACCGATTATGATTTCTCATACTATACAACTGTGTGGCTGGCATGATGATGTTCTTTATGACGATGTTTCATAGTTAATGTAATTACTCCCCCAAACCTATAGATTGTTGGCATTCCACCCACTATTGAAGATTGTCTTGGGCTATTGGGTTATATCAAGGGTAATACAGGATCTAATAAAAATGTCTCATTCACAACCCAACCCCTCGTTTTAAGTATTTGCATTTTCATAGTTCAACATTGTTATTCAGCCCTACTACCATTAAGTTTTAGGAGAGTCAGGGCGACAAAGATATGAACAATAAGACATGTTTAGTTTGCTCTAGTAGAAGTAGAAGAACTCATAATTTGATCTTTAAAGCACATAACATTTGTTTCCTAGATTTGGGTGTATGCAAACTCAAACCATCCATTCAAAATACTCTACGCTTGCAGCGAGATCATAAACTTGGGAGGCGTTATTTTGGGCCCTATCAGGATTGAAAACGCATTGGCCCCGCTCATTATTGCTTGGAACTTCCCGAGTCTCCAAAAATCTATTCTATTTTCCATATTTCTATGTTATTGGCACTTTGGATCAACATGTGACACCTATGAATCTGAGTGTTCTTACTACAGAGGATCTTGTTGAGTCCAACCTCGAGGACAAGGAAGAGTAATGTTGTGAATGAGAATACTGTTGATTGGGATGCCACTCAAGATGAGCATATGGGACTGCCATATATGACTTCTAGAAAGGTTATTCCTCCTAAAATACTTGGGTATAACGGTTGGAAAGGGGGAAGTTCACGTGAAGAAGGGTAAAGTTGGCAAAACGGTAGGCACAAGCATCACGAGTGGAGCATTGCGCAACAGGCTATTTGATTGTTCACGTGGGGATTGCATTGGAAAGGGGGAAGTTCACGTGGACACTCTTTCTATCTCAATTTCTTTTAAGCTTCTCACCTTCTCCTTTTATCATTACCTATTTTACTGATGCATTTTACCTTGTAATTTCTGATTCCAGAGACTTTAATACATCTACAAAAAAGTTATTATGCCCTTCAACCCATTTTAGTTAGAAATCAAGATATAATCTATCATTTACTTCCATAGTTGTTTTTACTCATTAATGTGAAGAAGAATTGATTAATGTTGTGAAAATAGAATAGTTTTCACATTGAAGAGGAGGGGATTTCACTTTTTCATTTCTAATTAAGATGAAATTTGAATGGAATCTTCAATATTACCATCTAATATTTCTTTCCCAAAATCAATCGCTTCTCTTCAATTAGCCTAAAGCCAAGAGATTCCTTTCTTCCTCCTAAGCGAGCAAGACCCAGCTGCCACACTTTGGAGAGAGGTAGAGGTAGGTGATCTACTCCTTCCGTTGAGTCCGAGGCTGATTACAACTCTGGTAAAGGGGAAAATTTGAATCCATAGATGCCTAAGTGATCAGGTTTGCAGGTATTATTAGAATGAATTTTCAACACAAATTGTTTGTTTCTGAGGAAATCGTAATCAATATATTGAATCGCTTGCCTCTAAAATCGCTAGCGAAGTTTGAATGCGTATCAAAGAACTGGCAAAAAGTTATAGCTGAAATTTACCGTAATCGTCTATGGTGGCCTAAACCCTATCAAATTGGTTTTTTTTGTGTAGAGCGACGTTCCCAAAGTCGTTTTTTCTTCTCATCGAAGGAATCACCACTTTTAGTCGGTGCTATTTTGGATAAATCAATCAATTTCATCGGGGAGAGAGTGTATATTATTTCTTCATCCAATGGTTTTCTCCTCTGCAATAAGCTTAGAAGCAGGCAGAGGGTTTATTATGTTTATAACCCTGCCACAAGGCAGCGTTTGGATCTCCCTAAAACTCAAATATGTATGAAAGATCCATATGTTGGATTTACTTGTAAGGTAGATGAGGATAACTCTGTCTCATTTACTATAGTTCGTTATGAAACACCTCCGAGTACTTGGCATGAGCTCCAGTATTATTTAATAATTGAAAGTTTCTCTTCAGAGACTAATGTGTGGACTGCTAATAAACAAATTCTGGATGTACCTTTGCAATTGTACCCTTCCAGGGATAAGATCTCCTCATCCTCGTCTGGTGTAGTCAATGGAGTATTCTTTTGGCTTGATAATAATGAAGAACGAATTACTGTTTTTGATAGTGTAGAAAAGAGTTTTTGGGCTTACGTATTACCTGAATGGAGGACACCGAACTATTCCAATAGTTGTTGTCTTGGTTTTACAGGCGGGGAACTCTGTTTTGCTTATAATCGTTTGAACATCATCACTTGTTGGCGACTCAGCAATTTTCGTAGTCGAGATAATACAGTATGGGTTTGCAAGTATGTTGTAGATGTTACCTATGTATTTCAGAAATGTTCAGAGGATTTTGGACTTGGAGGAGGCAGTAATCTTGGTATGGAGGTTCAGAACATGGTTTTTCATCCTGCTCTTCCGTACATCTTGTATTTGCAAATAAGAGGAAAAGTTATTGCTTGTGATGTGTCCACGCGTACGGTAGAACTTGTATATGATTTTGGAGAAGCTTGGCGAAAGACCCAAGAATACAAATTGTTTTCCTATGAGTGGCCTCAATGGCCGCGGCTTTTGTAGACTGTCAACAGGTATTACATATTTGTACTTCTTCTAATACTAGCATTTACTTTGAACTTAGATATACATATAACTTTTTTTGAACTTCTTTTTGGACTTATAGTAGGGAGGGAGTGACCTTTGTTGTACAAAAGCAGTTTCGCTGATATCAAGCCTATTGGCATGCCATGTTTCTCTTACATTGAAATGTCTTATATGATTAGCATGTTCATTTCATTAGTTTTGTCCCTATAGGACTAGTTTCTGTTATGAAGAGATCTACGAGTTTGATATTACTTTGAGATGTGAAAGGAAATGCCTTGTGATATTACTGTTACCACATTCATATTTTTTTATTCTTTTGTTTGGTCATTTCTCATTTCCCTTACATGAAAATGAATGAAAGAAGTTCCGCTGATATCCAAAAGCTACATTGAATGTCTTACATGTTAGCACATTCCCTTAAATATCCTTTACGGTAGGTGAACAACAACAATGTCCTGAAAGTTAATTCATTGTGGAGGAAGCAGCTTTATTTCTGCATTTCTGTAGTTAAATTAGTTCATAAGTTCATAAGGCTTCAGTAAAATCCTTACCAATACCTAATATTCTGAAACTGTTGAGACGAGAAACTGGAAGACCAAGTGAAGATTTAGGAAAGATAAGTTTGGATGGTGAAGTACCAGTGGTAGATCAAGACACTCTAATATATGTAGAGGATATTGGAGAGGCTAAGCACATGTATACAGTGATTTTGTCATGATAAGTCAAGCTTACAACCAATACAACTAATATCCCCTTGACCCTTACAGTAGGGATGGAATGACCCTTGTTGTACAAAAGAATTTCCGTTAATATCGAGCCACTTTATGAAAGTGGCTTATTTTTATCTCTGTTGGTTGAGTTGTCTTAAATAGCTGGTGTTCTATGGTTTGAGCTTATTGTGGAAATCTCTGATTGTAGCTGGTTTCAGATATTGCTTTTAAACTTAATTGGATATCGTCTTTAGCTACTACTCTTTCTCAACCCTCACTATCGCTTCTTCAAGGGTCAGTCGTTGCTGCTGCTGAGTTCACATGTTCTTTTGTTACTCACCCTTGTTTTCTACCCCTTTGTTGTGCAGGTTCAGAGCCCAATACTAGCGGTAAGTGATCCTAGTTTTGAGTTGTGAATATATCGAAGTTCCTGGATGTAATTGCTTGGTTTCTCACAGCTCCTGGACGTCTCTATCTTGTTTATTTCCTGTCATTATCTTTCGGACTGTTGTATTAATTTCGAATTCTCTTACTCATGTCACTGGATTTTTCGGGTTGTAACTGTATTATTTTGAATTTCTGTGTTGATTTATGGAAGTATGACTTTTAAGACTTTACTTATGTTACTTATCTACTTTTATTCTGTGTTTGTTTACCTATCATGGATAGCCTATATGCCATCATGACCTTATTTTTTAAGCCGTGACTGTTCTGTTCATGTTGAATATTATTTCTCATACTATACAACCGTGTGACTGACACAAATCACTGGATTTGAGTTCATACATAGGAGGATGGTTTTCATCTAAAATATTGTGTTTCCTATGCTGGTTGATGATATATTAGTCTTTTGATATATCTTATTCAGTCGAATTCATGTTCGAGTCTTTTGATATATATTATTCAGTCGAAACAATTCATGTTCGCAGCATATAAGAGTTCTGAAATGTTTAACATATATTGCATGTTAAACATTCATTGGATTAACATGTTATCCATCAACAGGTATTACATATTATTATTGGTTAACGAGTTTTTAACGGTTTTCTCTTCAAAATTATTGGGTTATTTATTTGGTTTTGATTTTTGAATATTGGTTTATTGATTTTATAAGCTATTAAGAAGGTAATAATTTACTACTCTCTATTATTACATAAATATTAATCTCATTACTTTACAAGTTACCATCTTTATTCTTTAGCCTTCCATTCACACTTCACGACGATCTTGAGTTCATTATTTAAAGTTATACAAAATGTTAAAACCTAAAGTAATATCCTTCTTTCTTAATTTTTTTTTCTCTTTGTGTTGCACTTATATAGTTCTTTTCATGTTAGTTATTATTGTTTCTATTTTATGAATTCTCTGCAAAGTTACATTATTATCTTGTCGCATCAAATTATTCGAGAAATCATTTATTTGTTTATAAGTATTTTTTTAATTAGTTAAATTGAAACATGAATCGTTAAAGACCAAAATCAATAAAAATATCTTATTAATTTGATTGTTGATTTAACCTATTTAAAAATAAAAAATTAATAAATCAAATTGATCGATGTACACTCCAACCCTGCATGCCTTCGACTCCATTCTAAAAACGTCAATCATAAAGAGGCATCACGATTACTCTCCACACACACTCACAAAAGAAGAATATGATAAAATTGTTGAAAAAGAAGGAAATTGACGATTGGAACATGTCAAAACAACAAGTCCAACGCAGTTGACTAACGTGTCTACAACAAGTGTTGATGAAGAAAGAAACTGAAGATTGAAACATGTCAAAGGAATAGGTCCAACGAAGCGGACAGACGAGTTTACAACACTGCTGTAGAATTAGAGTCACACTAGGATTAGACTACTTATGTTAATTAGGATTATATTTCGTCTATAATCATATTATGATTAAGATTATATTACAACTAGGATTATTATTAGAATTATAGTACAACTAGGATTTAGATTATTTATAATTGCATAAATATTATTATTATCATAGTAGTAATAGGTAGGAATGTACAAAATCGAACCGAAGATCGAATCAAATCGCAAATCGAGTCAAACCGAAAAAAAACTCGACTAGTGGTTTGGTTTTACTTGATTTGGTGTAGGAAAAAAATCCGATTATATTTGGGTTGGTTTGGTTTCAACTATAAAAAAAAAAAAACCCGAGACCAAACATATAATTTTAAAATTTTATTTTATACGTAAAAATACTTACTTTGATATAATTTTTAAATATCTCTAATATTTTTTCATAGTTTTTATCTTTAAATATAATTATTTCATGTTTGCAAGTTAGAATTCTTAATGATCTAATAAGATTATAGTCTATACATGTTGGTAATTAATAAAGTTTAAGAAAAATATCAAATTAAATCCTAATTCAAAAAGAAAATTAATTCAACACCCTAAGAATGACAATAATATTAAATATTTGTATTTTAATTTTACATAATGTAGACGATTAAAATATATGATCTAATTTTACTTTCTTTTAATATTTAGTCATGTAACTAATACTTACTAAACTTATTTTAGCATGATTTAGTACTTTAAATTATGATCAATTTCATTATGACTTATTAATTTGCAATATTTGTTTTACGCGATTTTATTATTACTATTATTTTTGGATATATTAGTGTCATTAGTTATATCATATTTTTTATTATTTTCTTGAGAAATACCTTAGATAGTTGCATTTTGGTAGAACTAAAGAAATATTTGAAGTGTAAGTAAATTATATGTTTTTATACTTTATCGCAAAAACTCGAAAATCAAAAAAAATCCAAAAAATCTGAAGAAACCTGAAAAAACCCGAAGTTGAACAACCTGAGTTTTATTGGTATTGTTTGGTTTATAAATTCAAAAAATCGACACAAATAATTTGATTTGATATTTGAAAAACCCGAACCAACCCGGTCATGTACACCCCTAGTAATAGGTATTGATTAACCTATCAATACGATCAATACTATCAATAAATCCTTGATTTCTTTACGTGAGATCAGGAGCGGCTCAAGCATATTAGTGGCCTAAAGCAGAAATCAGGCCTTAAATTTGAATTATTAATAACTTTTGTATAATTGATTTCTTCTAGTTTTCAATTGATAATATAACTATTCTTATTTTAAATTATTTTTCATGATATAGTACTCCAAATATGTCAAATTTCTTCTAATAATTTCTTCATTATCATGAAAACTTTACTTTTTCTACAAATAGTATTCAATATTTCTTTTTAAAAAATAACTTATAACCTATTATTATTAAAAATAAGACCCCTTAAATTTAGGGGTAAAAAATGTATGTCTTTTTCGTAATACTGTCGAGCCACCCCCGTTAAATTTCTAAAAAAATTTGTACCGGAATTATTGTGGTATAGGGGGAAATTAAAAGATTTGGAATGAAATTGTTTTTGTGACAAGAAGGCATGGCCTGGAAATGGAATCTTTTTTTTTATTTATATATATATATATATAATAAAGTTCAATTATTTTGGTAAATAAAGCCTACATTCATCATGGCTTGGACCCCATGGATTCAATATATCATATGCTTTAAAATCCCATCACCCAAAATGTTTATATATTTAATTATTTTTATCACGAAATTATTATTATTCCACTAAAAATAACTACACACACATCATAGTAGAATTAGAAATTCATAGAATATATTATTCTTTGTTTCTCAAGATTTAACATACTTGAATTTTGATCACTATATCAAAATATTTTTTTACTATATGGGAAGAATTATGACGTAATAGATTTTTTAAATATAATTTTTAATTATCTGAGATATTAAGTAATATAATTTAATTTTACTCCAAAATTAATAAAATTAAAATGTGACTAATATTTTGAGATGGATGGTAGAATATGTAAATATATTCTAGGCATGTGATTGAGCTATGAAAATGAGAAAAGAAAATCTTAATTATGAGCACTTTCTCTTTTCATAAGCATTATTGCTTACGTATAAATTAGTTAAATTACAATATTGAACCTCATAAAATAAAAATTTAACGTTAATTATGTACTCAATTATTTTATTTAAGAGTAATATAGTTTTCTAGAGTTAAGTGAACTTCGTAAGGGCAAAGGGGTATCCTCAGGCTAAAAACTCCCTATAATACTAATTATTAACTTAAAAGACCACTATACAAATCTATGAATTAAATTTTAAATTTTTAAATTTTAAATCTAGCTTTGATTTTAAAATTCACATCTACACTAGTATAACCAATGCAACGATTTAAATATAAAAAATGAATCATTAAATTTAAATTTAAATTTTATTTGCTCTCCGAAAAGTGGAGATCATATTGAAGTCTATTTAAATTGAAATCAGTCAGTTTTTAACCAAACTCTACTTGTATAATAGATTAGGAGCCATCGCGGAGCTCAGGTTCCACAACGCGAGTTCAAGCCACAAAAACGCTTCTAATAAGATTGTCTTCATTCTCAAAAGGGAAAATGCACAAGTACCCCCTCAACCTATGTCC